AATTGCATTAGGAATGATAAATCTATATTAGGCCCTCCCCTAGATCATTGGGCCGCATATAAGGCTCAAACTGGGCCCAGTTTAGTAAATTGACCATAACTTCCTCAATATTCATCGGAATTGGGCTTATAATATATCGTCGGAAAGCTCTTGTCATGCCCTATCCAACTACAATACTATTGGACCCATATAATGGACCAACCAAAATGGATTGACTATTTTCTTAAAACAGGTTTTCAAAAACAAAGAGAAGAGAAAAGGAATTAATACTATCCGCAACACTAAATTTTCCACACTTTCACTTTATTCGATTATGATTCGGCGCGAAAGGTACTCATCACCGGGTTTGGTTTTTGGGAGACACAAATGGGTGTCTACAGGAGGTTATTTTAAAATTTTCCTTAATTTTATTTTGGTAAAAATACTTTCAGTTTAGTAATAATTTAAGTTCAATAAAAATTATTTCAAGTCAATAATACACATAGATATCTATTTATTAACAAAATTACAAAAAGTACGCACTATTATATAACTAAGCAAGATGATATTGTATGTCTAAATGCTTTTTATATTATCAAAAAGGGATTACATAATGTTATTTAACATTCAAACTAAAATATTTAGGACAATCCGAGCATTGTTCGGGCACAAATATATATCATATTAGTAAGATAGTAATAAATAAAGTCGGTCTTGTAGCCAAGCTATGAGGCAGCGACACAAGTGCCGCTCCATGTAGGCGACAAATAGATATTGTTGTGATTAGATTAGATTAGATAAGATGCAACGTTAGATTAGATTGAATAGATTTGTGTAAGATAAAAAAGTTTATAATTCTTTTGAAAAAAAATATCTTTTTACTGACAATAGAATTTTACTTATATCAACACATCACATATTATAATTAATATGTTTATCCAATTAACAATAGAATCAAATAACCACGTAATTATAATTAAAATATGGCCATGCATCATTAATTTTTTTTAGCTAACATTTTAAAAAAAGTATAAATACTAATAATAATAATTATTGTAATAATAATAATAATGATGATAATAATAATAATAATAGTAATAATAATAATAATAATAATAATAATAATAATAATAATAATAATACAAAATATACCCACAAATAAGTACACTCTCTATAATGAGTATCCGGGGGAACGCTCGGGGCATTGATGGGCGTTTGAACGGTCGCACATTCCACACTCAATCAAACACATTTATTAGCAAACACCTTACAAACCAAGCATAATGATAAGTAAGAGTTCGGTCCACAAGGAACGGGATATGGTTGCTAAAGATCTTAACACTTAAGCTAATTCGAAGTCTATGGTCAATTGGGGTTCGTCAAGTAGACAAACAAACTATGATTCTAAATCGATGGATTAAAGACACTAGGGAATGGGATCCACTCAACCAAGGCAATTAGGCAAACGGGGAGTAAAATAAACAAGGTATAGCAAGGACAATATGTAAAATCGACCTCATGCAATTAGAAAACAACTCACACTACTAAACTTAGATTCCTCATTAGTTTAGCAATAGACGATACATAATCAAATTGCAATAAGTAATGACATACTCAATTTACATTCCCATGTCAAACTAAGCATATCATGCTATCAAGCTCTAATTCAAGGCCAGGGTAGCTAATCCTATCATGAAGAACTAACAAGCAATCTCATATAATCAATTTAATTGCAATACAAACATCAATGCTTCTCCCACATTTGCATAATTAACCCAAAAGGTTGAGCTTCACCCAACCCCTAGCAAGTAGACTACTCACAACTCATGTTTATCAACATGCAAACAAGTATTAGGGTTCTAACTTCTTCAATAATTGGGGAAAAGTGATTAACAATTGAAATAACTATCATCCAATAACAAATTATCAAGAACTAAGAAGATTTAAATATCATGCACGAACAAATAAAATCAGAAATTGAATGGAGAAAAGTAGAAGGAAGTTACTAATTGAAGCTTGGAAATGTTGAATACAAAGTGCCAATTCTTGAGGATGAATCTTGAAACCAACTATTACAATGATTAATTTGATGAAAACTAAGCTAAATTAATGTTCCAAACCAAGAGGAGTTTCTAAAAATTAGGCTATTTCTGTCTAAGTTACAAATGAACTAAAGGGGAAGTATTTATACTCCCCGAAACACATAGGAAAATCCGTCAAAAGAAAACGGATTTCCAGCGAAGGAGCGCCCGCTCCAACTGAGGAGCGCTCGCTCCACGACCAGGAGCGCCCGCTCCAGAATGCTGCACGCCCTCTCCAACTGTCTTCATAATACAAACAGTTTTGAAAGTTTGGGGAGGAGCGCCCGCTCCACGACCAGGAGTGCCCGCTCCTCACAGGGTGCACTTGGCATTAAGTTTGGCAGAAACTTGGCAGAAGGTTTGGAGCGCCTGCTCCAGCTGGAGCGCCCTCTCCATTCTCTAATTTCCTTGCCTTGAACACAAACCATGCATCGAATGCTTTCCAAATTGAGTCAATAGACCTGTAAAACATGAACAAACCCAAACCAAGAAGGGGAAAGGCCGAGACAAAACATTTTCATTCAAAAAATGGTTAGAAAGAGGGGAATTGAATGCAAAATCGGGTTTAAATTAACACAATAAGTGGTCAAATAAACCACTTATCAGGCATGTACTAGTCTATTAACTATTACTAAAATAGAAGTTGTTGACATCATTATTGTCTACGTGTCGCTTTCTTAATAAAAAATATCCCGCCTAAATGCAATGATGATGTCATTTTTTTGCTTTAGAGCTATCATATTTAACATTTTTGAATTTTATATATTGGAAGTTTCCACATGACAACTAAAACCTATCAATTTATCGTAGGAATTTGAAACAATTTTAAATAACACACTAATAAATGACCTCTTACATTGAACTATGAATTAGACAACGTTGAATAGATACTATATCATAATTTTTATGAAAATTAAAATATTTAAAATTATAAAATTTACTTAATTCTTATTTATACTCATGTATAATAACGATTTATTTTTAAAATGTACAAATTAAAAATATGTTTCATAAAAACGGTGCATCGCACGAGTTCTAACCTAGTATAATACTAAAACACACCATGCATGACACGTGTTATTTCCTGGTGCTATTTTTTCCCTCCAAAATCCCTTCCCTTTTTTTTTCCTTTGTGTGTTTTTTTTTTCTTTTTTTAGCCAATGACATTAATTGTAATACCCTGTATTTTTGAAATTTCTAAAAAGGGTATTTTAAGTAATTTATTTTACTATTTGAATTTTTGAGCCAAAATGATATTTGAATTTTGGCGCCAACAACATTTTTAAAATTCAATGATTATTTTGGATTTTGCATAAGATTTATTATCCATTTATTTCAATAAAACTATATATATGTGTGTGTGTGTGTGTGTGTGTGTGTGTTATATATATATATATATATGTGTGTGTGTGTGTGTGTGTGTGTGTGTGTACATATGTATATATATATATATGTATATATATATATATATATAAATATACATATATATATATGTGTGTGTGTGTGTGTGTGTGTGTGTGTGTATATGTATATATATATGTATATATATATATATGTATATATATATATATATGTATATGTATATATGTATATATATGTATATATATATTTCAAAAGGCAATATAATAACTACTTCCTCCGGGTTTTTTAGTTGACACCTTCCTATTATCACGCTTGCCAACGCATATTTTTAACGATTAATATCTCTAATTATCAACATTGTAAAATTATAAAAAGTGGATATCAATAAAATATACATTGAAACGATTCAAACAAGATCCCACATGAATATGTTTTATCGTATCTATAAACCATATGTAGGTCAAAGCATGTTGTTTGAATAGTGTAAAAGTCAAACGGTGTCAACTAAAAAAACGGAGGAAGTATGCTACTTGGTCTCATTCTCACACATTTCTATTAGTCCACTTTAGTCTATCTTCCTATTCACATTCTTCTTGAAATTTTTCTAAATGCTATAGATTGATAAAATATCATTACCCATCATCAAAAATTCAAATTACATCATCAACATGCAAGATTCTTTCAAAGGGTTTTATATATTAATTTAACACGAGGCCTAAAAAAAATAGAAATGATATTCATGAATGTTAATTGAACTAAGGAAAAGCTACACCTTTTTTTTAAAAAAAAGAAAAAAAAAACCTTTATTTCATTTTTTTTTTTGAGGAAAACCAGCAGAGAAATATTACTAAAGGAGATCAATTTCTGCAAGAGTCAACAAACTCTGGGGAAAAGGACCAAAACACACAAATTCATTACAGTTTCTAGTATCCCACCTAGCTACCATATGAGCTAGAGTATTCCCTGCCCGATTAACATGCGAAATGGAAAACAAACTAAAATACGAGAAGCTAGCAATAACATCATCTATCAAAAGGAAAAAAGGAGAACGCCTAGCAGCCTTCTGTTTCACTCCCTCGACCACCTTCAGAGCATCAGTTTCAAGCTCCACCTTTGAGTACCCCAATCACCTAGAAATGCACACACCGAAGAGCAAAGCAACAACTTCTGCCTCATCTAAAGACCACCCCAGCCTCCCCTTTTTGACAGCAGCAGCCCGGACAATTCCCTGCTCATCACGCACCACCACACCTAGCTGAACATTGCTGCCCACCATAGCATCACAAGTAATTTTCATAACTCCAGCCATAGGGCATCGCCATGATTTATTTACTGATGGAGTGGCTCGGGTTGCTTGCGGAAGGACCTTCACAGCATACACATTGTATTCTTGAACCATTTTTGTCATCCCAATTGCCACCATCGTAGGATTGAAAGGTTCATTCTCAAAGGTCGCTTTGTTTCTCCAATACCAAGCTGCCCAACAGAGGGAAACAAATACACTCAGTTCCTCCTTTGTTACCCTGTCATTAAACCACAGCAATCTGGTGGTGAAACTCTCACTCGGAGCTTGATCAATTAAGTCCTTGAAGTGCTTGTATTCCATATCTCATTTGTTGCCGAACACTCGAACATGGCGTGAAGGACAGACTCATCTCCATTGCCACAAATAGCACACATTTTTCCATCAATTACGTGGCGATAAATTAGTATTTCTCGAACTGCTAGAAAACCTTTATAGGCTCTCCACAAGAAGTGTCGAAGCTTGAGCGGTGTCTTCAAATTCCAGATTACTTTCCACACCTTCTCCCATATATCACCCATATCAAAATATCCTCCATTTTTACATAGCCAATACCCCGATCTCACACTATATTCTCCATTTTTATTCGGCCACCAAAACATGGAATCAATCATATTTCTATTTGACAGGGGTATTGATAACACAAGAGCACGTTCCTCAGCAATGAACGTGTTAGTTACAGCTTCAAAATTCCAATAGTTACACGAGTGGTCAATCAGATCAATAACTCTCAAATCCATATCACTATCAACCGAGGGAGTTGGGACTAGAGATGAAGTATTACCTGGTAACCAAGCATCACTCCAAACGTTAATTGCACTCCCATTTCCAACCCTCCACTTCAAGCCCTCCAACAACAAGGATTTAGCACACCACATACTCCGCCAAGCATAACTAGGATCAAAACCCACATTCGCCGTCAAAACATCACCGCTCTTAAAATATTTTGCTTTTAGGACCGAATGTAGCAGGGAGCCCGTATTATGGTGAAGCCTCCAAAATTGCTTAGCTAGTAGCGCTCTATTAAAACATCGAAGGTCACGAAAACCCAAACCCCCATTTCCTTTTGGTTGACAAAGAAGGTCACATCGTTGCCAATGCATCTTCCTAGTAGTATCATTCGAGCCCCACCAAAATTTAGCAAGAAGAGAGTGGAAATAATCGATTAAAGTGTCGGGAATTTTTAAGATACTCATCATATAAGTCGGGATTGCTTGTGCCACAGCTTTGATAAGTATTTCTTTCCCCGGTCTTGAAAGCAATTTCTCCTTCCACCCTTGTAACTTCTTCCATAATCTTTCCTTGAGCCCTGCAAAAATCACCTTTTTTGATCTGCCAATAATTGTAGGGAGGACTAAATATTTTTCATGTCGCTCAACCTCCTGAACTCCTAAAATCTCAATAATTTCCTCCCTCCTAACAGTGCGAACTTTTTTGTTAAAAGTGACCTCAGTTTTGCTTAGATTGACTTTCTGACCCGATGCCCTCTCATATTTGCTGATAATGTCAGCTATAGCAGAGCATTCTTGCACATTGGCTCTAGCAAAAAGTATACTGTCATCGGCAAAAAATAAATGTGAGACCCGGGGATCCCCCCCTACAAATCCTCGCACCATGAATAAGCTTATCTGAAGCGGCTTTATTCAATAAACCCGAGAAAGCATCGGCGCGGAGTATAAATAAATACGGAGAAATGGGGTCACCTTGCCTCAGCCCTCTAGATGGAGTAATAGAACCAGAAATGTGTCCATTAATCTTGAAAGAAAAATTAACACTCTCTAGGCAATCCATAATTCTATTAATCCAAGCCCCGGAAAAACCCATTTTTTCCATCACCTTCCCCAAAAAGACCCATTCTACACAATCATACGCCTTACTCATGTCAAGTTTCATCGCAATATTTCCTTCTTTCCCTTCACCACCTCTCTTCATGTCAAGTTTCATCGCAATATTTCCTTCCTTCCCTTCACCATCTCTCTTCATGGCATGAAAGATCTCAAAAGCAACTATTGCATTATCAGTAATAAGAAGCTTAGGGACAAAAGCAATCTGATTTTGGGAGATCACATCACCTAAAAACCCCTTTAATTTGTTGGCCAAAGTCTTCGAAATTATTTTGTAAATGACATTACAACAACTAATAGGCCTAAAATTCAGAGATTAATTTAGGATCCTCAACCTTCGGAATGAGCACAACACAAGTGTTATTTATTTCTTTTAGACCCGTCTCATCCCTCCACCACATCTTCACAAAGCTAACAACATCATTACCAATAATATGCCAAAATTTCTGAAAAAATAAAGCACGCATACCAAAGATTCTTCTTGCAAATAGAGGGAGTCAAGTTCCTCGGATAATAGTTTACACAACTCCAAAGTCGTCCCATCCATTGCACCTTCTTTCAATTCGCGCAATTTTTGTTCAACCTTCTTTATTTTCTTCTTGATCGAGCCGAAAGTCTTACCCGCCCATGAACTCAAATCCTCACCACATCGAGCAATTTTCTGGTTGATGTTAACAGCAAGACTCGTGTTCCAACTTCTATCCACAATCTCCCCACATTCTTCCCGAGAAAGCCAAAGAGGCTCAAACCGGAAGCTCTTGCTCCTTGCTTTAGATTCGTCCTTCTTCTTCACAGACAACATAGTTGGAGCATGATCAGAACTGTAAATAGGAAAATTTTGAGCTTCATAATCTGGAAATAAAGACACCCAACCATCATCAGCAAGAAACTTGTCCAACCGTTCACGAACATAAGTTGTCATGGAATTCCCTTTTTCCCAAGTGTAGATGCTACCCTTGAAACCCAAGTCACGAAGCAACAAGTATCAATAGCATCTCTAAATGCATCCATAAGCCTCTCACTTCTAGAGACACCACCCTCCTTCTCACTCAAGCTAGTTATTTCATTAAAATCACCAAACATAACACATGGCAAATCGCTTTTTGACTTTAAAGAAACCATCAAAGACCAAGTATTATGCTTTTGCGCTTGTTCCGGCCAACCATAAATGCCAATAGCTCTCCAAATTGGAGAGTTGTTACCATCTAGCACATCCACCTCAAAATGATGATCAAAGTAAGAGACAATATTTGCATTAACATCTTTCCACCTAAAACCCATACCACCAGAATTTCCAACACTACTTACACATAAACCATAAGAAAAGCCACATCTATTTTTTATTTTATTTAAAATAGTATTATCAATCATAGACTCCATTACAAAAACAAAATTTGGCCTTTCCCTCCAACATTTATCTTGGAGGGCACGAACTCGCCTCGGGTTGCCAAGCCCGTGGCAGTTCCAACTTATTATTTTCATTGTTTTTCGAGGGCTTGGATATCCCCAATGCCCTCTACTTTAGATACAAAAACATTAGAAGAGTCACTACTCACACATAGTCTTGGTTTCTTTTCAGCTAAGGTTTGCAGGAGCATCGGTGTTTGTGTTGGAAACTGCATCAACCCCCTCTTTCTCGACACCAAGAGTCCATCACCACTTTCACGCATATCCATATCTTCAATGCCATTCTTTCGCACCCTTTTTCGGCCTTTAACACCAACAAACTCTTTTTCACCCAAGGTCTCAACTTGCATACTACCACCAGACCCCTTCCCATCAGTTTCCACCAACCTTCTCATCACATCTTGCTCACCAACAACAGGGGTTTGACCAGCAGATTTCTCCCCCTTCTCTTGCACAGTAGATGGTCTTAGAACCATCTTCCCATTTCCCTCATCTGCCACGGCTATCAAGGAAATAGCACGCAGTTTTGGGGTGATTATCTCACTCGTGTTTGGTGGAGAAAACAACAATTTCCTTGCTGCACCAGGTGGCCCCAAGCGAATTGTAGCCGGATCATTATACTCAGAACTCTGTACCCTGCCCTTTTTGTCAAACTTTCCATCCATTTCTTTCCCATTTCTTTCTCAACAGCAGGAACCTTTGATCGATAAGGGGATGCAGTTAAAAAAGGTCCATATTAAAAGAGAATCGGCGATTCATCAATACAGTTTTCCTTCTCCACACAATCCTTATCATTATGCCCAATACGACCACAATAGTAGCAAAAATCTCCAAGTCTCTCGTACTTAAACCCTACCCACTTAGTATTCCCCGATTCGACCGCTATTTTCATGCCCCTACATAGAGGCTTATTGATTTTCACCATCACCTTGACCCTCATGAATTCCTCCTAGCCAAGAGGGTCTGATTTATCCACCTCCAAGCACTCCCCTATGCAATTACCAACCTCCCTAGCAAACCAAGAGAAACGCTTACCGAAAGGGACATCAAGAATTCGAATCCAAAAAGGGAAAAAATCGAAAGAAATTTCAGAAGGTTTTTCATCCGCACATATTTCCTTCAACAATAAAAATTGATTATCAAACGCCCATGGCCTCCCCTCCAACACTTTCATCCTATCATCAGCATTGAAAAACAAACAAGTTTTTATCGACAGACCTGATTGCTACATTATCATCAAATTCGCCAGAGGTTTTTCAGTACCCTTTTCATAGCTTCGACGTTAAAAGTCTTTTTCGTGAGAAGTTTGCCTACCAGAGACAAGCCAAGCTTTTGATGTGAACCATCCTCTGTTTCCAGAACATTCGATCCTTCGAGAACAAAGTTCTCTTCTTCAGTCAGTTTCAAGTTATCCCACGCCTTCAACAGTTGATCATCCATGACAACGATATTGTACAAGCACGATTAATTGGTGTATTATTGAGAAAATTGAGATTTGTTATGCACGAAATTGGAAATTGAAATCAAGAAAACGAACCCTAGACGAGAGAGTTTTCGGAACCCTACGCGAGGGACTTTCTCCTTCTAATTATTACTATAACAAAATATTGCTGACATCATCAACCCCTAAATTATCTTATGTGTCATTCTCACATTAAAAAAATTTCTTCCATTTCTATGAGTAATGTCTTTAATTAATAATTATTATTTTAATCTACAATATATATTTTTGAATAAAAAATTATATAATTGCTACTCATTTTTAAACAATTGATAAAACATTTTTTTTATGCGTTATAACAAAATTATTTAAATCGTGCAACACATGAGTCTAATCTAAAATGCCAATATGAACTCGTTTTCACAGCAAAAATTAGCAAAAAAAAAATAACGTGAGTGCCTCATTTTGCGTAACAAAAATGTATCGATTTGTGGGCAACTATTTTTTGCTTTGGAAACGAGACACTTACGTTTTTTTTTTTTTTTGTTAATTTCAAGCTCAATTCGGACCCTCAAGGCTAAAATGACCCCTAAAACCTTAACCGAATATTTTTCGACACATAAACCGATGAAAAATTTAAATTAGGCTGCAATTTACAATTTATACGAACTTTTGGGCTGCAATTTGCAATTTTTTTTAAATGGCTGCAATTTACAAAATACTAACTTTAAATGGCTGGAATTTGCAAATTTTTCCTAATAATAATAATAATAAGAAGAAGAAGAATAGTGTTCCTAATCAATTATTTAAGCCCTATTCCCGGTAAGTCGTTTTGGGTATCAATTGTTTTTGGTTTAGGTCATTTCGGGAATAAGGTACTTTAATTATAATTTAGGTCATTTCGAGTATTGAGTTAATTTCGAATTAGGTCAACTTCGATGTCGGGTCAACTCCACTTCAAGTTCGGTTTAAGTCTATGGGCATGTTCACATTTACTGAACTGAACTGATTGGAGCTGAACTGAACTAAGCTGAAATGAATATTTTATGAGAGAAGGAAATTAGGAGCTGAACTAAACTAATTAGAGCTGAACTTAACTGAACTGATTGGAGCTGAACTGAACTGAAATTAAGGTGAAGTAAACAGGCCTTATGTTTAAGATTCGGATAAATAATTTTGGATCAATTTTTGAGTCAAGAGGTTGGGTCAGGATTTCCAAGACTAAAACTTGTGCTTAATATGAGCATGATAGTTTAACCACAATCATAGTAACGAAATATATCCATACCAGCTTAATCACTTTTATCAAGATCATGTTGATCATGTTGTAAGCTGGTATGGATATATATTGATCAAGAAAGGATATATGTTTATCCTAGCTAATATTTGTCAAAGTCAATAATAACCTTTTAATTTGTAATTTTGGTCGATTTATCATATATACACTTATAATTGCTTATTTGCTACCAAGAACTAAAAATTACCTCACAATTGGTTGGCCAATCATCAACATCATGTTTCTAGATCATACTCGTTTATAATATTTTATAACACATACTCCGTAACAAACAAAATATAAAGCATATTTAAAATTACACAAAGACAATCAGTATAGTTAACAATCGCATCATATTAAAACGAAATCGTAGCATACCTTACTATAACTGCTATCATAACGCTTCAAAACATACCATTGATGGATTGACCAGTTGAACACATTAATGCAAAATAATGATCCAAACCAATCTCAATATCCCAATTTCACATGGAAATTTCAACTCTGATACATGAACCATACTTACAACTAGATAGTGAAAAATCACTTCGTCAAGAAATAATCTCTATAGTACCACACAATATAACCAAATGAACATCATACATCATGTTTCTATAACCGGCGTGCTTATAAGATTATACTCCCTCCGTCCCCTTTTGTTTGTCACTTTTTTACATTTAGCTTTTGGGTGTCCCTAAATGTTTGTTACATTTCATATTTTCATAATGATTAAGATATACTTTGTATAAAAAAACTTGTATACCCTTATTTTTTTTTTGTCTTTATTAAGTCCTCTCCCTATTATACCCTAACATCTTCTATAATAATAATTGTACGCCAACTTTTGACTAATTTAATGTTTTACACTCTTGATTCTCTCAAATTCTCTTTCTCATGTACTTTAATTACTTTTTAATTAGAAATTTCTCTTTCCCATGCACTCTTATTACTTTATTATTGGTTGGGAATTTCACTTTCCATATACTCCGTGCTTTCATTACTTCAGATTCTCCATTTTAATTCCTGAGATTTTCTTTCAAAAGTAACAAACAAAAGGGGGGCGGAGGGAGTAACACTTCCAACAAATAAAGCATAAATCACACTTTAAATCTACATAACGACAACCAGTTCAGTTAATCATCATATTGTATAAAGACAAAACCGAGCATACCTTAACTTACCATAACCGTTATTGTAATGCTTCAAAACATACCATCAACATATTGCCCAATCAAACCCATGAATGCAAACAAATCATCCAAATAAATCTCAATAGATACCCATTTTATAAGAAGAGATCACCTTTGATACATGAATTATACTTATAACTAGGTAGTAAAAAATTACTTTACTTATGTATTACCACATCATGCCTCAATATCAACACCATAAAAAAGAAGCATAAATCACACTTTAAACCTACGTAACGACAATTAATTTACTTAATCGACCGCATCAGATAAAAACAAAAACCGTAACACACCTTACCATAACCGCTATCGTAACACTTCAAAACATACCATCTGTATCAACCAATCGAACGAACACACGAATGCAAACAAATCATCCAAACCAATCTCAAAATCTACCAATTGCACAAGAAGAGATCTCCTTAAGGGCTATATGCTATTCTCCCACAATACAAGAAAACACTCAACACGATGAATGTGGACATCCATCCATCCATCCATCCATCCACCATCATACATTTCATACACACATATACATGTTACATCCATAAAATAGTAAGACGGGGATTTGACTTGTAATTTAATTTTAATTAAATAAATTCCAAAAAATGGAATGAAAATTGAAAAATTCAATCCGATGGAATGCTAATTTGACGTCCGCAAGGAGACATCCTTTCTCTCTCCTCTTTTCTTTCTCTCTCTTCTTCTTCCTTCGTCTTCTCTCTCTCTTGCTTAGATACAGCGAAGAACAGCAGACAACCAAGAGAAAAAAAAAGGAAAAAAAATCCCAAAAAAAAAAATTAAAGAAAAAAAAAAGATACTGAGATAGACCCTCTTTCTTCTTTCTCTCTCTATCATATTCTCTTCTCTTATTACTTCTGATATTGATTTTTAGGAGAAAAAAACACTTTGCCCCTTCAAAATTAAAGGAAAATAGAAAAAAAAATCGAACCCTAAAAAAAAAAAAAGCAATTTTTATTGGTGGGTCTCGTAAAACAGAGAAAATTGGGAGCAACCCAGTTCTTAATTCAGTGTTAATTTCAGTTTTTACATCCCAATTTTGAGAAATTTTCTCTCTCTAGATTAATTAATTTAGTTCTGGTGAGTTCTTTTTTCTAGTCAAATTTAGTCTTCTTAGCTCTAAATTTCATTTCTTTTAAGTCTTTACACTTTTTTTTCATTGTTTTATTAAATTATTTAGCTGATCGATTTATTGGGTTTTTCTATTTTTTTTTTTCCTTCTATTTATGTAATCCTCTGCTTTCTAATTATAACTTTAATTTTAATTTACTCTGTTTTATGTATTGTAAAATTGTTTGGATTTATGTTATTTGAAGTTGGGAACTTCTATTTTTGTCTAAGAAGTCGGAAATTTGAGAGTTGAAGTTCATTTTTCTGGAAGATTTCTTACTTGGGTGTTTCTATCTTTTTTGGGATTTGGGTTTTTTAGGGTTCGATTTAAGTTATTTCAATTGGAATTAAAGGTACTAACTTAATTTTTATTGTAATTTGCGCTTTGTGCAGAATGAGTGAAGGTTTAAGTGGGATCCAAAGATTTGGAGTTAACTCAGGGAATACCGCGAAAGCTCGAGGATTTCTTGGAGGCGTCGGCATTGTAGTATGTTAAGTAGAAACGTGTTTTGCTCGGTTTGTACAATACCTTTACTGGGTGTTTTATTTAGCGACTTGCAAGTTTTTATGGTTAAGCACAAAATTGTTTTGGATGCTTTAGTGTGTGGTTGCTACTTTGGAGTATTATGCCTTGAATATAGTCCAAAATTGCTTGGTGGGTCTTCGTTTATTTCGGTTTTTGAACTGTCTTTAGTGTAAAATTTAGCTGGTTTTATTAGGATTCATGTGGTTTTAGATAGTTAGGTTTTAATTGTTGAAGCAGTGATAGGTAATTAAGATCTTTTTGATTATACAATGGTGCCTTCTGGACCGTCCACCCCAATTGGTGGAACCCAATCTGTTAATCCTTCACTGTTAAGGTCGAATTCCGGGATGTTGGGAGGGCAAGGTGGTTCAATGCCTTCTCAAGGGGGTTTTCCATCTTTAGTGTCACCCAGAAATCAGTATAATAATGTGAATTTGCTGGGAAACGTCGCCAATGTTTCATCGCTTCTTAACCAGTCTTATGGGAATGGTGGGGCGAATTCCGGGATTGGTGTCGGGAATGGCCCCAGAGGTGGCCTTGATGTAGGAGCTGAGTCTGATCCCCTTTCTGGTATTGGCAATGGAATGGGGTTCAACCCTGCATCCTCTTATGGTACTTCTAATATGGTGAATCCTAGCTCATCTGGTCAGAGTCAGGGTCAAGGTCAGGGCCAGCAGTTTCCGAATTCTTCTGGTAATCAAATGTTACAAGATCAAGCACAATCCCAACAGCTTGAATCCCAAAATTTCCAGCATCAGCAGCAACAATTTCCTGCTAACCAGCAGCCACAACAGCAGCAATATCGGGGTGGGCTAGGTGGTGTTGGTCCTGTTAAATTAGAGCCCCAGGCTTCAAGTGATCAACATGGTCCCCCACAACAGCAGCAATTGCAGCCTTTAAGAGGTCTTAGTCAGGTAAAGTTGGAACCGCACCAATTGCAGAATATGCGGGGTATGGGGTCTGTAAAGGCGGAGCCTCAACATTCAGAGCAGTCCATGTTCATGCATCAGCAGCAACAGCCGCATCAACAACAGCAGCAGCATCAACAGCAACTCATGCAGCAGATGTCCATGCCAAGGAACCCACAAGCTGCAGCCGCCCATCTTAATCTCTTGCAGCAACAAAGAATGCTTCAGCTACAGCACCAGGCTCAACAACAACAACAACACCACCATCAGTTAATGAAGGGTATTCCTCAACAAAGGTCTCAAACGCACCAGCAATTTCCTCCCCAGAATATGCCTCTTAGGTCACCTGTGAAACCAGTTTATGAGCCTGGGACGTGTGCCCGTCGTCTCACACATTATATGTATCAACAGCAGCACAGACCAGAGGTCAGAACTAGGTTTACGACTGATTTCCTTATGAGCAAGTGTTTTTAAGTTTTTACCTAAATTGGTATTTAAGATTATTGTTATAACTATGCAGGATAACAATATCGATTTTTGGAGGAAATTTGTTGCGGAATATTTTGCCCTGAATGCCAAAAAGAAGTGGTGTGTGTCTATGTATGGAAGCGGTAGGCAAACTACCGGAGTATTTCCTCAGGTAAGCTACTAAATAGCATAAAACGGATTGTTTTTCTGTTATGTTGAATATATATGCTTATGAATACCTTTTAATTTCTTTGTTTGCAAATGTTCTTGCCTTCCCCTGTTTTTTTACATATCCGGAGTTGTTCACAATGAAGCATTATTCTGGGATTAGACTCTTTGTATATCTCGTTATTGTTTGGGCTGCCTACAAGATCCGTAGTACATGACACCTTTATTTGGTGTAATGTTGTCTTTTCTCTCCATGGCTGTATCTTTATCCCTTTATGATTTCATCAGATACTTGTTTCTAGTGTTTCAGTTTTTTGTATCTTTTAATGCTGAACTATATGAACTCTAAATTGTCAGGATGTATGGCATTGTGAAATATGCAAGCGCAAGCCTGGCCGTGGTTTTGGTGCGTAGTTCATTGTCTTCCTTACGACATTTTTAATTGCTGTATGTTGCTGTGTATATGTGTGCTCCTTGCTGGCCTGTGATTGACATTTAAATGATGATCCTTCTCAGAGGCGACTGTTGAGGTTTTGCCAAGGCTTTTCAAAATTAAGTACGAAAGTGGCACATTAGAAGAGCTTCTTTATGTTGATATGCCTCGTGAATATCAGAATTCGTCAGGTCAAATTGTTTTGGACTATGCAAAGGCAATTCAGGAAAGTGTTTTTGAGCAGCTACGTGTTGTTCGAGATGGCCAGCTTCGGATAGTTTTCTCCCCTGACCTCAAGGTTGATATTTTTCTTATTTCCTATTCAAGATCTATGATATACATAATAATAGTACTAATTATTTTTTGATATTTATGATATATTCAAGATATGCTCATGGGAATTTTGCGCCCGGCGACATGAAGAGCTCATTCCTCGACGACTCTTAATACCCCAGGTCATGTACCAATTCATTATTGAATCTATTGATTGTTAAATTTTTTTATTTTTTTTATTTTATTTTTGGCTATATAATTTCCTTTTGACAAGGGTAATTAGCCAAGTACACTTTTCTTCTTTAAGCTACTCTACAGCCTATGTGTATGAATGTTATGACTTGTCTATAGAAGCCTAGAATGTAAATGAAGATGAATTTATCTGTCATCCTTCTCCTTACTGTCCCTCATTCAATCTGTTATTAAGCCCCATAAATAAGTTTATTCATTTTTTTTTCACTCTATTGGTGCTAGTTTTTAATTCAGACCTTGTTTTATACAATTTTGGGTTTTCATGTATAGATTTCATTAGTTTTTGCCTGGAATGTGCTCATAAGAAATTCATATATTGAATTATGGTTGTTTAAGATAGAGTCATACATACTAGCTTATAGATAAACTATGACAACACATTTGTTTGTCGATAATCAGATTGATGTGCCATATTTTGAGTTAGACCTTACCTTAATTTGATTAAAATGATCAATTAAGGATATGGAAAATCTGCGGCGCGAATGTTCTTTTCACTGATGATTGAGCCTTGAGAATCTGCATCAATCCTTTTTATTTCGTGAGGGATGGCTCTCTCAACTACGTCATTGCGTGTTGCAATACACAATCCCCTACACCTCTGCCCCCCCCCCCCCCCCAACCCCACCCCACCCCAAAAGGGGAATTTCTGAAGAATGCTTTATCATGAAACAAGTGGAAACAAATTAATGTAGATTTATGATAAAAGTTGTTTTTAAATTATTGCTTGATTGGATCTGGATTTCTTGGCTGAATTGTTTTTTATTTTTTTGTTTTTCTTTGGATTCTGGTTACGTAGTGAAAAAAAACCACAATGACCTGTTGTTTTACACGTTCCAAATTTTCCTGTACATTGTTTTAAGCTCCCCATCTATTGTAGATAGGTATCTTTTAGTCCTTTTCTGATTACATTTTAGATGTTGCAATCATACCAGAATCTTGAATTTCCCTGGCCCAGTGCACGTAGAAAATAAAAAGTGATACATTTTTATGTAAGGGTTGTAAAGAAAAATCTCCTGTATTGCTTGTATCTTATTGTGCTGTTATATAAGAGAATGTTCCATTTAATTAAATTCTGCCTTTGATTTTCATATGGATTGCATCTTATTCTGCTACCGTATTGCTGATTAGATGCTGAATTTGTGCAGGTTAGTCAGCTTGGTACTGCTGCGCAGAAGTATCAGGCTGCTACACAAAATTCATCATCCAATATGTCTGTTTCAGATTTACAGAGTAATTGTAACATGTAAGCAACTATCTTCCGATTTTCTCAATTGGTAATTGGATCACTTTGCGAGAGAACATTGTAACGGCTATTTTATTTAATTTTCTATTTGTTATATTGGTCTATGTTGGTTGCGTGACAGCTAATTAAAACCTCTTCAATTACTAATGCCTTCTTGGCTTTGTTACATTTTTATGGTTGCATATCCTTTCTTTCTCCTTTTCTCCTCTTTACTGTATAAGTTTAAGCTATTGGATTAATCATTTAAGGTTTCTCTTTGTTATGATGTTTGTATGTCATTTTCATCTTTTACATTGGTGTATGTATATTTCAATCCTCCATTATTGGAGTTTTAGGCTTAATCTATCAGTAATGACCTTCTAGGACCTGTTAAACTCTTGGCCTGTGATCAGATTAGAAGCTTAACACGTACCTTTTATCTGAAAAGAGCAACATTTGCTTACATTTTGGTGTCTGCTTTCCACATTTCTTATGAGGTGGTTAAATATGTCACTAACTGTATTCTATTTGCCTCAAATTCTTTTTTTACAGGTTTGTTGCGTCAGCTCGACAACTGGCAAAAACACTGGAAGTTCCATTAGTTAATGATTTAGGTTACACAAAAAGATATGTTCGCTGCCTTCAGGTATGCTCTGCATGTTATCTTTGCTTTTCATACTAGGATAATGACCAGGGGGATATTGGTTTGAAAATTTGAATAAGTGAGTGCGGCTCTTCCCCCATCTTGAGTTCCTTGATTAATGATATGATGGCTGCACTGCCTTTTGCTTTAATTGACTTTGCTATTAATTTTTTCAGCTTATCTGCTCATCTTTACTTGCAACTTTCATTGTTGGTTGTATGTTCGTACTTCATATGGAGTACTAATTTTCTGCATTTATTAATAATATGCGCTTCTTTGTCATGTTCTGTGGTTTTGTAGATATCTGAAGTGGTCAACAGTATGAAAGACTTGATTGACTACAGTCGATCAACAGGGGCTGGACCAATGGGTAAGATTGAATAGTTATTTATTTTTGTTTTTCTTGTCTGAATCTACCAGCATTTCATGCTCTTAGGTCAAGTGGTTTTAGAGACTCCCAAAGCCAAATTTACTCGTCTTCCCTTTTTACCCACGAAATATGAATATGTCATTGTTAAGTCACAAGCTGGTAGATTTTGTGAGCATATAACAACTAGGGTAGAAAAGATATTAATTTTAAATTGCCTTTGCTGAAGTCGCAAGCTGTTATGACATGCCACCTTAGAGGAAGAAAACAGAAGGCAACGGTAATTTAAAAGATGTAAGCTGATATTTCTTTAGCCAGGCTGTCAGAGTTATATCTTTAATTTGACAATAATATCTTTAATTTGTTTAATATCCTATGGACTTAGCTGTCTTTAACAAGAAAGTGCACTGTTCTAGCTAAGAATGGTTAATGATTACTTATTTCGCATTTAATTGCTTCTTGTTTCTTTAATTGAATGAGGCCCAACATATGTAACATATTCCTTCATTTGTCATGTTGTCAATTTGTTTGATGAATTTATTAGTTAATTTACGTATCTCACTGCCTTCTTTGTTACTGCTGCAGAAAGTTTGGCCAAGTTTCCTCGAAGAACCAGCACATCATCTGCCCTTCAAAGCCAGCAACCTGAAGAGCAGCAGCAGCAGTCGCAGCAACCGCAGCAGCAACATAACCAGCAGCAGTCACAGCAGGCAATGGCTCAGAACTCGAATAGTAATGATCAAGGTTCTGTCCAGGCTGCTGTAATGCAGATTGCTTCTAGCAATGGGGTGACCAGTGTAAATAATAATTCACTCAATGTACCTTCCACCTCTACTTCACAAAGTACTATTGCCGGGCTTCTCCACCAAAATTCAATGAACTCCCGACAGCAAAACCCTATGAATAATGCTAATAGTCCTTTTGGTGGTGGAAGTTCTGTTCAGATGCCATCTCCGGGTGGTTCATCAAGCACAATGCAGCAAACGCAACCAAATCCTTCCCCCTTCCAATCTCCCACACCTTCAACTTCTAATAATCCTCCCCAAACTTCACATGGTTCGTTGGCAGCAACCACCAATCACATGAACTCTGTAAACTCACCTGCAATGTCCAATATTCATCAGCCTGCTCTATCAGGTGATGGAGATACAAATGACAGTCAGAGCACAGTTCAAAAGATGTTACAAGAAATGATGATGAACAGTCAACATAATGGGGGAGGTATGATGGGCATCGGTTCATTAGGAAGTGACGCAAAAAATGTGAGTGGCATATTGCCAATGAGCAGCAACTCGGCTCTCAATGGTCTTGTGGGCAATGGGCCCACGAATAGCAACTCAAGTATGGGTGGCGGGCCTTTAGGGGGCATGGGTGGGGGAATGGGCCAGGCTTCGATGGTTAACGGAATCCGATCTGCTATGGGCAACAATTCTGTTGTGATGAATGGAAGAGTGGGTATGGCCTCAATGGCACGGGATCAAAGTGTGAATCATCAGCAACAAGACCTGGGAAACCAAATGCTAAGTGGGCTTGGAGCAGTCAATGGGTTCAACAGTCTTCAGTATGATTGGAAACCATCACCATAACAAAAGATTATATGAAATGGGTGTGAAAATTTGTTGTCCGGGTTCTGAAAAGATAAATGGAGCTATTTGTGCGGCATGATAATGCAATGATGGAAAGAGAAGAGGCTTCTGTGATTCCTTGTTGCCCTGAGGCAGAGGAGTTTGCACATGGATGGAGTTGAGGGTTTGCGCTTGAGGATGAGGGAGAGAGAACGAACAGAAGAAGGGGGGGGGGGGTGGTTAAACACCACTTTGTACTAATTTCAGAGAGGAGAGGGAACATATAGCGTAGCGTTTTACTATATTATTGAAAAGAATATCTTCACATTTCTCAAAAATCAGCTGTTTTTGGCCTCTCTAACATTGTCTTTCAGTGTTTTAACTCTGATCGTCAAGTGTATACTGCATAGCAATTGAGATTGGGATCGATTGTTGGGAGATGTACAATGAGTAGAGGATTGATCCAATTCACTTGTACAACCTTCTTGTAAGTTTCTGGAGCCTTTGTACACTACTTATATGTCAGCATTCCCTTCAACTCCTAGTTATGTTGCTAGGTGATGTGTTTGCATCTTCAGCAGGGATCTCAGGTTTGCGCCCTATTGGACTTTCTTTGGAGGTTGTCTAAACAACCTATATAGTATCTAAAAGTAAGGTTGAATGTATTAATGCATCATTTATACCGCCTTAGAAAATTTTTGTACCGATGTTTTGAGGTGAAGTGAACATTCCTGTGCTGTGCTGCACAGGTCTTATAGATGATCGTCATACTTAGTGTCATTTAGTGATAGTTTTTATGAAGAAACTAAGTTTTGTTTCATAATAACTCCGCATTTGATCAACAGTGAAGGCCAGACGCAAGTGTAGATTGCAACACAAGCGAAACACCTTTGGGAATTATATCCTCTAATCCTACCTTTGTGTATATTGGTTCATACAAACTTTAAATGTTACAAGTTTACTAATTTTCTATCCAACTTTATACAAGTACTTCGTTTCTATTCTACTTCTAAATTACACGAATGATACATAAGAGTCGAGTTGGACGTAGAGTTTTGTATTCCGTTCTGGTCATAACTAAGCTCTAAACAAGAAACGCGATGATAGTCATTTGAATATTGCCAATGATACCAACTAACGAGCTATTTTGTGCAAATCGATTCGAGGGCGTTAGCCATATGAATTTTAGAAAAGGAATAGGGGAGGGGGAGCCTCATTTTTCGACCCCTTATTTCTAGTTTGGATTATACATCACATATTGTAAATAAATTGAATTATTCTTAACACAACTCAACATGAAGTTTCAATGATTATGATGATTAGTCATAGATCTTGGAATAATGCTTTTGTATGATTGCATAAAAGTAATGCTTCACTTCTTTAAATGTTAATTTTGTAATCCAAATTGCGTGAATGTGTTTTTTATAATTTTTACACAATAAATACATAATGGATGGAAAATATCAGGTGGTCCCTAAAGCATAAAACATAAAAATTATAATTAAATTATAAATATGTGGGCAAGAATTGAAGCATATTCAGAAAAATACTACGGAGTATAAAGAGACAGTTTTTGTCATAAAATACTATTGAGAGGCATTGTAGCAAATTTATTGTGAAATTGTGTATTTGTTGCACGAAATAATAGCAAGAATATAAGTATATAACATCATATTTGGACATTTCCAAGGTGATAAGTGGTTGAAATAAATCGAAATGGACATGTGTAAACGTGTTTTGACAAATCTTACTTTGTTAACGTGCAAGTAATATTAAGTTCCAAAAGAAAGCAATTCGTACTCCATCTGATCTCTCTATATATACTTTTTTTTTTTAATTATGTTTTGTATTGGAAATTTAGATCTCTACATCTTTTAATAATTTTGTAATGTGTTGGTATGTATGAATGACAAGTTAGTGTAAGTGTGTAACAGTGTATCGATATTTTACATGACTGCCTTGAACGAAGAAAGCACATGCTAGTCTTTGTAACAATTACGAATGCTTTATGACTTCATACTAAAAATAATCTCTATTTTTTGGCCTCCATATGTAATCAAATGTGTTGTTTTTGTCATGAATTCCTCTACCTAATTTTCAGACAAAATTGAACATTATTTAACTAAATAACATCATCAATATTTCACTAAAAAGTAGTAGTAATTCACAAGAGTATCATAATTAACATATTTTCTAAACATTCAAAGATATCACATTAATATCAACAAATGATGATATACAAATACTAAAAGCAACTCTTATGAAATAAAGTTGCTTAGTAGTTTTTGTTCATAATTTAGAAAAAGACTGATCTTTTAATCTTAATTAGTACTTAGATTTTCTGTTTTTTAAGAAGCTAAATACTTCTCAATGGTATCAGTCAAAGTAGACTTAGGCACAGCACCAATAATACTCTCTTTTCTTTCTCCATTCTTAAAGAACAACACTGTTGGAATGCTCCTTATGTTGTATTGTGTAGCAATGCTTGGTGCTTCATCTGTGTTCAGCTTGTAAACTGCAATCTTCCCGGTGTACTCTTTCGCCAACTCGTCGATCACCGGAGCAATCAGCTTGCAAGGTCCACACCATGGTGCCCAAAAGTCTACCATCACTGGGACTTGGCTCTCTAGGACTAGCTCTTTCCAACTTGAGTCATTCACATCTTGAACTATAAACATAAACACCAATAACCAAAATGTGGAAAATTAATATTTTGATTTTTTTTTTTATGATAATTAATTATCATTGGGTAATAAATAATAAAATGAATAACAGTGTAATACTTGGTGTCAATTTTTGAACAAAGATTACCTATTTCCTCTATTCTATACCTTACCAAACCCTTAACCTTCACTTGCGTTAGGACTTGTTCACTTCAGCTTAATTTCAGTTCAGTTCAGCTCTAATTAGATAAATTCATTTTCAATTCAGGTCAGCTCAATAAATGTGAACATACCTTTAATTTGTCATTTTATTTTTTTTAAGTGTTACGTAATACACTTTAATTTTTAAGTGTTACACTAGTAAAGTTTAAAAACACTTTTGTTCTCATATGGTCTCCATTCTCAATCTTCTCGTGATTAATTTTTTTCCCCCTCATCTCACATCCTTTGATTTTTAATTAACTATTACATTCACTATATTTTCGTACAACTTTTATTATTATTATTATTATTATTATTATTATTATTATATCTCAAAAACAAAAGTCATACAACCTACAATAAATTAGTGGGAAGCTGAGATACAATCTGGGCCCCCGCTCTTCTAGCTATAGCAAAGCCTACCCTAGTGAAAATATGAGTTGCAGCACGAGCACCAATGTCTTGCGTCGCCGAGAACCTCTGAATCCTCTTCAGCAACACAACAACCTCTTTTTCTAATTCCCCAAGCGAAGAAAAGAAGAAGGGAATAAAATCATATACAATCGCCAGACAACGAGCTTTATACTTAACTCGCTTCATACTTTACTTATTTATTTATTTGTTTGTTTATTTTATTGTTTTTTTAAAAAAAATATCTCAACTACTCTAACCCACTTACCTCTTGTTATAATAAAGTCAATTAAACCTTCTATTATAAGTACCTTGTCATGTGTATGCGCCTTATGGCAATGCCCGGATGTATTATTTAGACACGCTAATCAACAAAGGGCTAATCACATGTTACAGCAAAACTATCTTTTCAGGAACTACAATTTCCTATAACTTATTATAAGAAATACTTAAAAAATATAAATACTACTTACATCTCATATTATTTGCAATTATTTGCAATGATTTGACATAAAATAGAGAGGAAAAATATCTAATCGTTACAAATAATATGAAACTAAAGTAGTAATATGAAGAAAAACTAACCTTGCTTAACAGCTTCACTAGCCTTACAAACAACGCTAGAGTACCGTGCTCGTCGAGGGGACGACACGAAAGAAGGCGAAACCGATGAAGACAATGCCGGAACCGATCTCTTTATACATCGAAAACTCGGGAGAGCAAGCTTGGATGGTGGAAGATGATGAGCATGAGATTTAACAGCAACTGTTCCTACACTTGCTGATGTGCTCAACTGTAAACAGTTTTCTAAAGCCATAATATTTGATGATAAAATGTCACAAGATTTTATTTTATTTTTTTGGTTGGGAAAAAACTATTGTATGAACAACAAGTATGTAATAATAATATTGTGAAGGAAAATGGTGGATTTAGATTTTGTTGAAGTGTGGATAACTTGGAGAAATTTTCTGAGGTTCTTAAGAATGATCAAATTCATGTGGATCACATTTATTTGTGGCCCTTTTCATTTTTTTTATTTTATTTTTGTTTTTTTATAAGGACCACATTGTAATTTCATGTCATTGCTCAAATGGGCTTGTGGTGGCAAATGACAATGAATCAAACGAGGGTAATGAATGGGCAGTGTGATACATGTTGCTTTGCTTGATTGGTTTTGGAAAAAAATCTTGTATGAGACGGTTTGGTGATGAATTATAATAGTATAATTATTGAGATCAGATTCAAATGAGTTATTATTTATGGAGAATTTTTTCGGGTTATTTTTACGTTTTTTTGGTAATGTCTTTCATTTTATGTGTGTGTCACATTGATTTATAGCTAATTTATTTGAATTTACACATGACATACATATGATATCTAATAAGTAGATATCATTGTGTTATGTTTGAATTGATCATATTTTGTAGAAACTTATTTTGAAGGCTTAAAGAGGAACCTTAGTAAGTTACAGGGCGTTTAGTAGGCAGGATAAGGGGATTAGGATAGAGATAATTGGATAAGAAAGAATAGATTTGTTTGATTAGGTGGATTAGACTTACTGAACAATACTTTTAGAGGGGGGGGGGGGGTTTAAAATACACATAAAACTCGGCCTTATGACCTTACCCCACTATATTTACATCTAGCAAAATATGCGTAATAATGAAGATAGGATGAATAAGGTAGTAAAAACGAGGATAAAAAATTGGTGTAGAAGATAAAGTAAACAACATCGTCGTTCTGTACGTGGATGAGTTAGATGAATTTGCAAAATTACTTACAAAAATATTTATCAAAGGAACTGTTCTTTTCAATTCATTTTGTTAAACTTGTTTGGTGAAACAACTTGTTTTTGTTGAACATTTTTTGTAAAATAAATATGATCACTTTACTTAACTATTGTCATGTTGATGAACTTACTTAGTTTATGACCTTACTTTTTATCTTTTTCCTAATCCCCTTATTGTCCTTGTCACTCAAAACAAACATATGAGTTCTTCTATCTTATATTCTCATATCTTTATATACCTACCCAAACTCCCCATTCTAAGCTACTTCCTCTTGGAACTTTGAGGATAAAAAGAAAGATGAGATATACTTCCTCCGTTCTTTTTTTATTGCACCATAAGGTATTTTACGCTTGTCAATGCATTACTTTAGCTATCAATATCTTCAATTATACTTTTGTAAAAATTATAAAAATTTGATATTTGATAAGTAGAGTTCGATACGAATCTAACTAGATCCCACATGACTATATTTTTCCTAATGTATAAATCACAAATGATGGTCAAAGAAAATTAAGTGAATAGTGTAAAAGTCCTAATGGTGCAATAAAATAAAAACGGAGAAAGTAGTAAAAAGCTTGGGAATCAATAAGAAATAAGTTGTTTTTATTAGACGTTAACATGTTTTTTTTATTTATCAAACCTATCAATGCATAATTTTAAACTTAATTCTATCTTCAATTAAAAGAAGAGATATCTATTTTATAAAATTATTTTTTTTAACCAGAATCTATTTTATAATTTAATAGTCATTTCTACAACACTTCTATCACAATTCATCAAAACACAATACTCAAATCTCATGCATTTGAATTTTTTTTAGTTATTTTTAAAATTTTTAACATTTATATATCTTATAAGAAACTACCAATAGTTCTTGTAAAAAAAAAAAAAACTACCAATATTTCTTGTAAAAAAAAAAAAAAAAAAAAAAAACTACCAATAGTTACTTAATAACCAATGACATTTTACTTTATGTTGTTTTCTTTTGTTAATAACATATCCCATGCATTCGTACATTAGCACGGATACACTCTAATTTTAAAAGTGTATACTAATATTGTTGTACACCAAAAAAATTTCAATCATAAGAGCCCAAAAAGAATAAAATCTGTCTTTCGTTCCACTATTGCTCGTCTCAACTAGCCCAGTCGTCACAAACCCCCAACAACCCTCAAACTCACTCTTGCAGTCTTGCTACCAATAAAATAGAGTGCCCTCCAACTCGACGCTCACATATATTGTTTCGTGCTCACGAGCCAGTTGCTAGCTTGCACCTTCTCTCTACTATATAGAGAACACTCTGTACAAATCTGCTATCAAAACATTCAACCCACCCTTAACTCATGTTGAATTTGAAGCACGATATGACCCTAAAATCGCAAGATAAGCTCTAACCAACTGAACTATCATTTCCTTCCCTAATTCCTATAGTTCAAATATTAAAAGAGCAGAGAAAGTACGAGTTATAAGCTACTTCATCCGTTTCTTTTTAGTTTACACATTTTTTAGTCATGTTTGCCATTTCACTAATTCAACCATTAATATCTTTAAAAACTAAGATATTTTTAAAATGCGTATTGTGAGAAATCTAATAAAATGTCACATGACTATATTTTTCATTACACATAAAGCACAAAACATGATCAAAAGAGAGTGTATGAATACTGTTAAAGCTAAAACGTGTTAAAAAAAAAGGGAGGTAGTATATAACTCATGAGTTGTGAGTTATGATGATATGGCCCATAATAACAAGTAAAGGCCCAAACACTTAAAACATTCATAAAAAAGTGAGTTATGTTTCCTCTTTCTACTCCTCTCTCTTCTTATCCTCCGCCATTCCCACTCTCTCTCTCCTTTCTTCTTCCTTCTTCTTCTCCATCATTCTCCCCTAAATTAATTTCCAGAAATTTAATCATGAGTTCCGCTGAACCCACTAAAGAAACCCTAATTTCTACTGACGAACAATCCAATGAAATTTCTTCCAAAACTTATTTCGACATTTATGGACCTCAGGTAATCAATAACCTACTCTCTCTCTCTCTCTCTCTCTCTTTTCTTTGAATTATTTAATTTTCTTATTATATAGTTTTGGATTATGTAAATAATGCTATAAGTTGAATTAATGTGACATTATTTTTGTTTGATTAGGCAAAAGCTGAGGTTGTGCTTAATACACCGGAGGCTAATTCTACTCTGAGTTTGGAAGTATGTTGTTAAATTTATGTAATTCTATTCAATTTAGTTTAATGTAATGTAATTAAATTTTACTATTATGTTGATTTTTTGAAATTTTTGTGTAAGTTTGTAATTTAAAGAAGTTGTAAATTTGATTGTAGGATGTTCAAGGGTTGGTAACATGGGTGCTTGCTGATGGTTATATGCCTCCTTGGGTTTTTATCAAAGTAAGTGTTTGATACGGCGATTATTTGTTACTCTGTATGTTATTCTCGCGAATTCGGATTCTCAGACTCAGTTTACAAATGATTTGTGAATTAGAATGACAATGTGATGAAGGAGACCTATTGGGTATGAGGTGAAATGTAATTCAGGGGAAACTAGGGATGAAGGCTTTTGTTTTGATATAGCCGGTTTTGGCCTAGTTTAGTCTGAGTTATTGCTGTACGGTGATAAATTACATAAATGAAGTTCTGATTCAAAAGTATGCTAGTTAACCATACAAATTCAAACCTGCAAATATACAATTAAGGAGAGAAAAAATATACGAAAAACAATACTATAATGATATATTGTGAATTATTGATTACTGTGTTTGTGGGATGGTATCTGATATAAGATGGATTGTGTATTGGCTTGGGCATGCGACTTAGACTATGATGATAGAAACTTGATTTCAATCTATTAATCAAAGTCTTAATTCCATAAGCGGGGCTGGTTACATGAACCAAAAATGATTATTCCATATAGTCATTTACAAAAGTCTTCCTCCTCCATCCCTTGCGATCAAATACCTCATTCTCATGCAAATCCATATACTTCATATCTTTCTTAACTCTTTCCAACCAAGTCATTTACAGTCTCCTTCTACCTTGTTTAAAGTTAATGTCTCTATCTATAATTAATGTTGCTATTTGTGAAGCATGATTGTAAGGACATTATTCACCAAAACGATATCAACCTCTGCTTCCATTGCTTCAATTTAACATCATCCACCAAAACGATATCATCCGCAAACAACTTATACCATGGGACCTCATCTTGAATGTGAATGATTAGCCTTGCACTTCTTTTTCTACCTCCTAAGTCCTAAATGAGTAGACAACGCTTAGCCAGATTGCTTAGTAGTTTGAAATCTTATTAAAAAGCATAAAAAATCATTTGCATTTATTATAATTGCTGATTTACCTAAATTATGTGGTGCAGAACAAGCCCCTCATCCCGAAAGTCGCACTTCTATATGTTCCAGGTCTTGATGCAGCATTATATATGTCACACACAAAAAAGTTCAGCAATTTAAAAAAGTGTTGCGGGAATCCAAAGGCTGTCCAGGCTTTAAGGTTGGTAGCACTGATTCTGTTATAATTTTATTTTGATATATATATATACATATATATATATATATATATATATATATATATATATATATATATATATATATATATATATATATATATATATATATATATATATATATATATATATATATATATATTGTTTACCTTGTGAGTGTTTTGTTTCCTGTGCTAGCTGTTTATTAGATGGTATTCAGACAATTGATGCCCTTCTGACATGCAAGTTCAAAAGGAAAAGAGATGAACCTGATTTAGCCCCCAAGATACCTAACGAGTCTTCTGTGAAAGGTATCCAAAGTCTAATTGTCTCATTACTTTTAAAGATTATAGAGTCCACTCGTAAGCCTCCTTTAGCTATCTCATGGTTCTCACCTCCATCCATCTCTCATCCTTTGGTCATTGTCTTTTTGATTCCTCCTATGCACCTGTTGTGCAGAATGTTTATTCATTTATGCTCTGATTGTCTACTGATTGGGTAGATGATTTCATATCAAGATGTTGGTTACTTTTTTTTTTTTTTGGGTGTAAAAATACCTTTAAATTTAAATCGATAAAATAAATCCATGAGATGTAGAAACTGCTGATTGAGCCACACAATAAGAAAAGTTAAAATAAGTGCTATCCATTTCTTGAAGACTATAGCTTTGGTGGATTGATCTGAAAAAAGCCTTAGGAAATATTTTACCCTTGCAAGCAAAAAAGCTATAAAATTGATCAACTTTAGGATGGGGGTTATGACCATTAGTGAGTTCTACCGGCCTCAAGCTTGGTTGCTGGCATCTGTGTTGGTTCGTGATTGAAAAGTTTTGCCTGGACGCTGAAGCCCAAGGGTCTTCTGGCTGCTGCCTCAGTGCTTAGAAAGATCTGTGCAAGGTGTTTCCAATGACGTGAAAAAAAAGGCTGTGGTTACGTTAATATTATTTCTGGAATCTGTTTTTATACACAGAATTGATGAAGCATTGTGGTCTGGGCTGACCTTTGATCTGGCTCCAGGACCCTTTTCTTGCAAGCCGAATTTTTTTCAATGTTGTCAGATATTAAGTACATGGTGGCCCCCATTCCTGTTTGGCTTGGAATTGCTTTCGATAAGCTCTAGCTGCTCTACAATTCTATTCCATATTTGCTTAAAGTACAAGGTGTATCCTAGAAGCTTGTTTACTAAGCACCAGCCATTGAGGCTATTTTAATAAAAAGAGTTATTGTGGGGACCGGGCCTTTGTATAATTTGCGGTATCTGAGTAGTAATTGCCTATTTGACCTTGAGTGGATTAACAGACAATCTAAATTGTGTACTTAAACTTCTAGCTGTTGATTTAGATTCTGTATTAGAGTTTTTTTCACTCTCTAGAACCTTGGTTTTGTGCTATTTTCTGCATTTTGTGTAGCACGAAATGATCATTGTTTCCGATGCTAATACTTGTCCACAAATACAGAAATGAATACCATTCTAAAAAAATTATCCCCAACTGAGTTCATGAAGAATATACCATTCCCTCTGACATATTACACTCTCACTGCAAAACAGCTGGAGGATAATGGATATTGCCTCAATCAACCTGGTAATGCTCTGTTTTCCTTCTATATTATACTTTGTTGGAGGATTGCCTTTTGGTTGATTATATTGTGTACATGATGTAGGTTTCTGTTCTACCCTCCCTGCACCTCCTGGGCCTTCTCCTTGTGAAATGTTGGCTCTTGATTGCGAGATGGTAAGATGTGACATAGCTGTCTACTTTGTGACAATGTGACTGCATGTAGCTTTTCTGTTATCCGAGGTTTTTATTCTGTCACAAGTGTCCAGTTTCATCCTTAAGCATCTTCAAAGTCATGGGTGATGTTTATGAAGTGGGAAGGCAAATTTTATTTTTTGCTGGTCATTGTCCCAAAGAAGTTCCTGTTTTGTTTTACTTCTTCTCTGTTCTCTTCGCAAAATAAAAGCTTGATGCCACCTTTCTTTATGTTGGATGGACCTTTGGGCATGAATATTTAGTTATTTACGTCAGGATTCCGAATTTAGATGAATGCTGATGTCTTCTGTTCAGATTCTTAGCTAATAGTCACTAGTCACTCAGTTATTATAAAGTTTACTCATTATAGGAAGATGATTTGTGCAAATATGCAATGGTTCGTCAGTTGAAGGGAATATGCTAACTCTACTAGTAGTTATAAATTTTTGAGGCCAAGGGGCTTTTAGAGGTATTATGTTTGTTTGATCTTTCTTATGTGTCATCCTTTAAGTCATGAAGTGTAGAGACTGTAGAATATATTGTCATTGGTAACTGTTGAATATTTTTTTGTTTTTCCTTTATGGGTTTGATATGCCTTGCTACTATAAATTTTATCTTGCACTTAGCTTCTAAATACATGCTGTTTTTCTAGTGTATCACATGCAATGGATTCGAGCTGACGCGGGTGACCCTCGTAGATGTTGAAGGTCAGGTGCGTTCTTAAAGTATCTCTATGATCCGTATGACCACACATTGTAGCTCCTTTGAGATCTCTTAAATAATTAAAAGTTAATGTCTCTATCTATAATTAATGTTGCTATTTGTGAAGCATGATTGTAAGGACATTATTCTTTTTAATACTGGTTAATCCCTGATTCTTTTCTTCTATCTGCCTTATGCTACATAATTCCAGGTTATGTTGGACAAGCTGGTGAAGCCATCGAATCCAATTACTGATTACAACACAAGGTATTACGACTCAAGCTGTCTCTGATTCATGTTTTCTTGTTGTGCCTATGACTTCTTTCTTTCTTTTATTTTCTTATATTTTTTTGGGGGGTGGGTTGCTATTTGCAGATTCTAGTGTCAGAGTTGCCAGTGTTAATATTTTTTCTTTTTTCTTTTTTTTTCGTTAGCTACTGACATATGACCCCTAATTTTTTAATTGATTGGGCCGCTGTATGTTTATCTCTAAGCTACACAGTACACTTACAGAAATCATAATATTTACTTAAAAGTTGAAAGTAGCTGAAGTTTCCTTAGCCCTTAAACTTAATTTAGCGATCAAAATCCTTTAAGATTGGGGTTTTGTTTCAGTCATCTTTGGGCTCTTAATTGAACTATTTTCGGATTATCAGTTGCTGGAATAGGGAAATGGTGGTAGCAACTTAAGGTACTTTCCAAAAGATGTGTTCCAATTCCCCTTTTGCTGGTCCAAGAGGTTGATGCACAGTGCATAATTGGGATGAGATCACTTTGAAGGTTGCTTGCATTTTTTAGGTTCTCTAATTTTTTATTTAATTTTTTTCTTTTTCAATTTTTAATTACTCATTTCTGAAATAGTTTGTGTTTCTCACATTGGTATAAGATTATTAGCTTTTAGGGCCTAATACCTAACAGCTCTCTTCTTTTTTTTTTTTTTTTTTAAAATTTATAATAATAAAATAAAATCAATAATAGGTGAATGAAAAGTTAGTTTACAAATTAGGAGTCCTTGATGTTTGTTGTGAAGAAAGCATACAAAGACACCCAATTACTATTTATTTCCGAAATCAAATAACAATTAAACCACCATCCACCACAGGGAAACTAAATAGTACCTATACCGTAGTTGGGAGTAAGAGAAGATGTACAAAATCTGTACTAACCGCATACACCAGGAATTTGCTATAAAGGAACTTGCGATGGTAACTTCTTAAATCATCTAGAGTAGGTCTGATAACTTCCAAACCACGTACACCAAGAATTTGCTACATTGAAGGGAACTTCCAAACCCTTCAATGTTCAATTGCAATAACTTTACTACTAGAGTAGGCCCTATAGGGGCAAATTCTCAACTCCCACAGAGGCGAATTTCCTAAAGATGTTGAGCCACCTAACAATGAAGGAAGATATGCAAGCTAAGGTCACTGTTGGGACTGCATAGCACTGTTCCTAGCCTCGAAGCTCATGCAAAAGCTTGATGTTTACAATAATGTGTAGCCTTCTAAATCATCTTGGCACTTTGGCAGCTCTAAAACAAGGGTATGATAATGGCCAGGTTAAAAAATTCAAGAAGAGACTTGCAAGACAAAATATTTTCTAAGTTTCCCCCTTTTGCACTATCAAGTCACTATTCTCAGATTAATACAAGTCTAAATTTCCATCAATTGCTCATCTTTCTTGCCATAGGATAGCCTTATTCCGAAGCCAAATGATGAAGAATAGAAGAACATGTTGACTTGCTGACTCAGGATCATCATGAAAATTAAAGGCAAGGATTGACGATGAAAACATATGCAAAATGATAGTTTAACTGCTCGTGTCCCATGATATAGTGCCTGGTTCTCATTTTTCATGGTAAGTAATGGTAGTTAAGGGAGTGTAATACTCTTAAAAGTAAGGGTATTATATGGGAAAAGTTAAACAAAAACAAAAAAGAAGTATAAAATGACATTTAATGAACTTTGGTTATAAGAGTATTTTATACTCCCTCTGTCCCTAAATTACATTCCTCTTTCTCTCTATTATGTGAGGAATAAATGCTAAAAAGAGGAATGTAATTTAGGGACGGAGGGAGTAGATAAGTAATTAATGGCACAAAAAATTGGGGAATTAATGGCACAAAATTTAATGAAGCTTTGGATATAAGAGTATTTTATAGATAAGTAATTAATGACACAAAAAATTGGGGAATTAATTGTAGTTAAGGGAATTAATTTGGGGTTGGTTCAAATGGGAAAGGTAAACAAGTAGGTGTAATATAGTAAAATTTTGTAATATAAAATAGAAATATTAGAAATAGGCACAACAATTTGGGATACCCGAAAAGGAATACAAGCACTATATTATGGGTCGGAGCCTTGGAGGAAGTATATGACTTTAATTGAATGGTTGTAGTTGAGTTTGACACCTTGTCTTCTACAGAATCATGATCAACTGATTAAGATTAATTCTGCTTAACTACACATTCTGAGGAGATTTATTCTTATTCCTTTACACTTAGTTCTTTAGTTCTGCAAAATGAAGGACATGCTTGGTACATGGTACACACAAGCCAAAAGGTTTGGTACACATGAGCCTTGTAGCATTGTTTTCTTTCCCTCAATTTACTGGTGGGATAGTTATATTGCCATCTTGCTATTTGAGATACTTTGCCCATTCTATTCCACATCTTTGTCTGATTTTAGCTGCATCCTAGTATCCTACATCTATTTGCTGTTGCATTTTAGTTCATATAGAATAATTGATCTTTTTAAGAGTTTGATAGACATATGAAATTAGCTAAGTAAAGTCTCTTGCAATTATTTAATCTGTATTATCCTGGTGTCTATTGTATTTTACACATAGTGGGCTTTATTTACCTAAACTTGGTGACAAAGAAGCTCAAGTATGTCTGGTGCCCCAAACATTTTGACCTCTTTCTTGATGTGGAAATTGGGATGTGCAAAATACTCCACTATTGATTTGCTCAAGTTTTCCTTCTTCTTTCATATATGTACCCCATAACCCCATTTAAGAACTATGTTTCATGATATTGAAATTAGAAATGCTATTTTCATATGTATGTATTCCCACACCCTCTTTTTAAGGTGTGGGAAATGGGATGTGCAAGGTATACATCCCATTAATGATACATTTTACAAGAATATATCACTAATCCACTATCATCATATATGGTATTATTTTTGATCTTTTTTCTGTTCATGTAAAGATTTATACAAAGTATATGGAACTTTCTAAAGCGGTCAAGTGGAAGCATCATAATCTGTTTTTCTTTCATATTCTGAACTATGCTTCAATTTGTGAAATAAATTCACTGATCTGACTATTTGGCAACACTTTTTTTTTTTTTTTTTTTTTTTTTTTTTCAGATATAGTGGAATCACGCCAGAAATGTTGTCTGATGTATCTACTAGTCTTCAAGACATTCAGGTATGATATGTTTTCCTTTTTTCTATTTCTTACTGGATGCTTAAAGTGGCAGCGATATTGTTGCTGATGCTGAGTTGAATCTTGTTTGCTTTCCTGATACAGGAAGAATTTTTGAAGCTTGTTTATAAAGAGACGATCTTGATTGGGCACTCATTGGAGAATGACTTGTTGGCATTAAAAGTGTCACATGATTTAGTTATTGATACTGCAATATTATACAAGCATCCTCGTGGGGGCTCATATAAAACAGCTCTTCGGGTGCTTGCCAGAAGATTTCTTTCTAAACAGATACAAGATTCAGAATGTGGCCATGACAGCATTGAGGATGCAAGGACAGCTATGGAACTGGCTTTGCTAAAGATTAAAAATGGCAAGTGCATCTGAATCATTTGCCACTTTTTTCTATGCTTTCTCGCGTTCTCTTCCATTTTCTCCTTTTCACTCTTCTTTGTTTAGTTCTGTAACTTATTTCTATACTTTTCTTGTTTTACTTTTCATGGGTGGTTCTTTTTGCCGATTCGTGTTAGATCAAATCATTTTGGAAACAAGGCTTTGGTGTAGCAGTAGTAGTTGTTGTTGTTGACTTGTTGTGATGGTGCATGAGAGAGTTCTGACATAGACTCAGTCTTGATGTCATCTCTACATTTGTATGTTTTACTTGTACCCAGCACATGCTATTGATAATGTTTCTAAAACTGAAATTGGGCTGCCTCGGAAGCTTTATTTGGAGGCTAGGTTAGGAGAGCTGATAAGTTGAGTCAAAATGCCTCTAAATTTTCTTTTTCACGTTGCTCTTTTAACCAGTTTTGTTAAGTTTGCTCCTAGGTGCAACATATCGTTTTCTCTGGTTACTATCTGCTGGCAATTCTGTTTGTCTACTTCCTACACGTCACATATAATATCTACTTGTTAATAAATTTATCAGGTTCAACATATCACCTTCCCTTATCTCTTTACCTGCCTTTATACTGCTGTTAATCAACCTCTTTTATTTTATTTTTTTTGTTGGAGAGAACAAAATCCTGCTTTGAGAGAAAATTCTTGTGGTAAGATTATATGGGACAACCCAATTAGAATATGAGTTTTGTCGTGGCTTGGAGGAATATCTATCCACACAAGAGTAATTATGTGCACATTTCTTGAGAATACAACAGATGTTTCATATTAGCCTATCTGAGCACATGGTTACCTGACCTAAAATTTGTACTTTGTCCTTTTCTTAATAGATGCATCATAGAGGAATGACACACATACCAAGGTGAAGGAGAGAGAGTGTGCTAATTTACATATTTGCCCATGTGATTTGTTTGAAAGAGAGAAGGTAAAGTAGGTGCATGTGAGTTGGTCACCACATCTATGAAACAAAGTTGAGGACATATAAAAGTAATTTCACACAAAAAAAGTTTCTAAATAGAGAAAAGATGCATCTATTGAGAAACATCCCTAAAGGGAATTTGATGCATCTATTAAAAACCGAGGAACTATAATTTTTCAACTTAGTCATCAAATTATATTTATTATGTGGCATCGCTTCGATGTCCTACCTGCTTCTTTGATTTTCATAACTAACCTTTCTTTTCTGTTTGAATTTGGATATTCTACTTCTACATAAGCAGTTTGTGAAGTTTCTTTCTTATGACTCATACTTTTACGTTTTCCTGATTTTAGGGCCTGATTTTGGCTCACCTCGACAATTTTTGCGAAAGAAGCTTCTCAATGTGTTAAGTGAGTCTGGCAAAACATCATCTTTCATTGATGATATTTCGATTGTGAAGCGTTATTCTTCTGGGACATGCCATGCATTTCCTGTCTCATCTGATGATGATGCACTATCTAGAGCTTCAAAAGAGGTTTTTAATATCTAATGCAGTGCCTTCTCTTTTATTTTTGTGGGTGGCAGAACTTCTGTATTGAGCAATATTTATGCATTTTCCAGGTAAAAAATAACAAGGTGCACTTTGTGTGGACTCAGTTCTCGGAAATAAATTCCTATCTTAAAAAACAAGCTGACGACGACGAAAAATTTAATGCACGGCTTGCAGAGTTGATGGCATTTCTCACTTGTCAAAATAAGTCTTCTGCAAGGAAGGGAATAAAGTGTAGTTTACCTTCAACATTCAAAGAGATCCTAACCCGTACAGATTCCAGAATTTACAAGCTCTATTCTAATCTACCTGTGAATAGTATGTTTATTGTATTTACCGGTCAGGGAGACACTGCAATAATCCACAGGTAATTTTTTTGACAGCTGATAAAGTATTCCTCAACCCTTTTCTGCCATATGTCATACTACTTGGTAAAAGTATGATATAAAACCACATTATCCAGCTATCAACAATTGCCAATGGTAGGCAGTGCTTGTTTGTTGGATGTGCCCACACCAGCCCTTTCTTGGATAATATAAGACTAGTGAGTTTGCTGGAGAACTATAACGATTGTGTGATTAATAAAAATCTTGCTTTAATGCTATAGTGATTGATCATTGATGGCATTCTTAATTGGTTGAGTCTTGTGACAGATATCACTGTTAAAAGAACTGCTCTCGTATCTTACATATTGTGCTTAAACCACTGTTTTCGTTTCCTAGTGTCAAGAGTTTCAACTATAGTGGTCCTACTATTAGCCTAGCGCCTTTCATGTTGCTCTCTAATAGTCATACATGGTGAGCCAATGTTTGTAGCCTTACCCTTGGAATCACACGATTCACACCAAGACTGGATCTCTTATTTGGGGTGACAATCAGGCATGGCCTGGCTGCTATTTATCCTACAAGAACTAGCAACAGGTCAGACATTTAAAATTCCCATTGGATTATAGCTTGCAGTCAGAATGTCTCCGAAGGGATTAGCATCTGCCTTAGCCCTTATGATATGGCTCTAGAAATGGGGCTAAAAAGTGAATCTATGTTAGAGACCTCTCTCTCTCTCTCTCTCTCTCTCTCTCCTTTCTTAGCTTTCATTGAAGATTAAATTTTGCTTATGCTGTTTTGGAACAACTTTCTTATGATGCTTAGTTACCCTCTTCATTGCACCTCTTTAGCCTTTGGACATCGGCAAATTTGTACCGTAATCTACATCCATGCTACTTACTGACTTACATCATTTTACTGGGCTTTCATCATATTATTTGACCATTTTCTCATTTGCTGCTGCTGTCAACCTCTGATCATCCCTATTTGCTTGAACATATTTTTTCTTTCACTTTAAAACTTAATTTTGATCCAGCCGACGAATATAGTGATGTGTTTAAATTTTAGGATTTTTCGGTCTAATCTTTTGGAAATGACATCATATTGGAATTTTCCCTTTCTGGAGATGGTAAATTGTAGCAAACTGATGAATCATACTGCTGTTTCTTTGTATTATGTTCGACATGGAAGTTTCCCTTTGTCTGATGTACATTCTTCTGCTATGTGTACTTGCAGATTGCGAAAGATGTTGACAGAAGAATCCAAAACCGAAGTATGCCGTGAAAAACTCATTAAGGTCTTGGAAGAACTCCAGGCCCAGGCTGAAGTAGGTCTGTGTTTTGTGGGAATAAAACATTGATTTCTAATTGTTAAACAGGATGTTCAACATCATGTATACCATTTGTAGATGTAAAACCCAGAATGAAGAGCACTATCCAGAATTTTATAATATACTAGTTTTGTGCCCCGGCGATACCCGGGTAGTTTATGGACTTTTAAGATAAAATTAACTTTTAAATTGAAAATAGAATTCTAAATTAACTTTTTTTCTACAAAGTCAATCTATGTTTATCCAACGTGGTACGATACTTGGCGACAAATTAAAACGCTAAATGATGTTGTCTTGTGGCCTAATTATAAATTTATTATTTGGTATTTTATCGAAAATATAACTCTAAACTAATAATCTTATTCTAAAATTCTATCCTAATTTGATTGAAAATAGAATTCTTACCTAATTTTTTTATCTTATGAGATCTATCTAAGGTGGCGCGACACTTTGACGGTTTTTTAATCATATGAAGTCTATTTAAATCTATCTAAGGTGGCTCGACACTTGGCGAAAAGTTGGAATACCAAGTGTTGCTATTTCGTAACTTGGCTAAAAGTTTAGCTTTATATATTAGTTATATGATTATGAATACTTTTTTTCTAATTAAATTTGTTTTTATTTTTAAGTAACATAAATTAGAACGCATCTACAAGGAGAGAAAGGTTAGATTCATTTATGACTAGGTTTTTTCTTGCAAAATTTCCCAGACATTTAGCCAGTGAATACATAAAAAAGAAATCCAAATATTATTATGTGCTATGTAATTGAAATTAATAATAAGCATCTTCAGTTCAAAAATAAGGTATTTCCTCCGTCTCTAAATTACATTATTCTTGTTTTCCTCTATTATGTGAGGAATAAATGCTAGAAACAGGAATGTAATTTAGGGACGGAGGGAGTATCTCATAACTTAGCATATTACGATAATTGTGTATGAACACACTACATTTAAATGACCCTTGTCATGTTTCATAGAGGTGTTAAGACCACACCCGATCTGAAATCGACCTGAAAAAAAGTATTCCGACTCGTGTGGATACATTAACTTAGCATGACTCTACTTTAAAAATTGACCAGATTTGACCCAATCTAATCAAACCATAGGATCATCCAAGTTGGCATCTCTAATTCTTCATCCTAATTAAAAGATTTGTTGGTGATTCCATATTAGCCGGCCTACTTGTGCCTTTTAATTATCCTTTTTTGACAGTTCATCTTGAGCCAAATATATTCATGTGTGCACCTGGTATATCTTTGAATAGAAATTAATGTTCCAAAATATGTACTTTTAATTTGTAAAATGCTTACTTATCTTACAGTATTACCATTTGTCATTAGTAGAAACAATCAAATGATGATTAATTAAAAATATTACAATAATAAGTGTAGAATTTTGAGAATGTGGAGTTGTCAATAGATGCAAACTCTTATAGACGCCAAATCACATCTCCCTAGTTAGAATACGAGCTTAATGCTTTGGTTAGACCTATTTATGTAACCGTCTATGTAACCCTAAATTGAAAAGCTATAAAGATATAACTTCATACCCCCTATAACTAAACTATCATCAGAATTAACCGCAACGCAATGCATTAGAGTTCCAAAATCTGCATGAGACATTAGTTAAATTGGTACTTACATGAGATGCTCGCGCATGAGTTGGACTTTGCGCATTTACTTCCAAAATGTTGTATTCTAACGTTTTATAATCATTTTACATGAATTTCTACCTAATTTTTCGTAAAGGCTTTTGATAGAGTAAAACCCCACTTTCTCCCTTTAAATTTTTTTAAACCCTAAAACCATTTTAAATTTCCCAAAATAAATTCAAGTAAGGGTGGATCATCTTACAAACTTATGATGAGTTGGACTAACTTTATAATCATTAGACCTCAAATAATCCTTCAATTGTGGTTGTAATAGGTGTAAACTTATGATGCTCATAAAATAAATACTTTGAAGGATCATTTTAAGCAAGTGCATTTATATCAATTGATAGTTTTTATGGACAAACAACATGATTACTTTGTGGTTGAAATCATAATTACTTTATCAATAGAAATCAATTTGAAATTTGTTTAATGTGACGTTGGTCCGTGGGTTTACCAACTAATTCTAGTTGATAAATTCTCAGATGAAAAAAAAAACTTTGTTTGTGGGTTATAAGAACATTGTTGATTATCGTTTGACATGGATCTTTAATGAAAGTTAGAACTTTGAACAACAAACTTCAAATCAGAAGCAAAATAATTGCACAAACAATCGAATCACCATATATAATACTACTGTAATCCCCGTATTTTAAAAATATTTTATAAATGAAAGTTTATTTTATTTATAATATTTATTTGTTATTTTCCGAAATTTAATTTCAAAAGTTTCAAATTATTAATCTAGGTCGAAAATTATTTGAACAAATTATTTTATGCACCTTTATTCTACAATTTATATCCAATCAAACAAGCCTAACCCATTTGTTTACTTAATTGACCCATTATTTTTATGAGGCTCAATCTTCCTTTTTACCCTACAATAATTCTCTCCTATAAATACCCCATGAATCTCCAAAAAATTTCCTACACAAAAAGGTTAGTCTTATTTTCATAATCCTCCTTTGTTTCATTTTCATAATCCTCCTTTGTTTCATTATTTTGCTTAATGTTAATTTAATTGTTTTGGGTTTTGATTTTAGTATAAAGATTATATTTTTAGTATCAAATTATATTTTGATGGTATAAAGATTATAAATTTTAGATTATATTTATGTTATAAATTTTCATATTTTATGAATTATAAACTTAGGGTTTCAATTTATTGAAAATCATGATTTTAGGGTTTTTATGAACAATTGATTTAGGGCTTTTATAGTAATGATGTTTTGAAATTTTGGTGATTATAACTACTGATTAGTTTAACTTAATTCCAGATTATTTTGAACACGTAGATTCGTGTTTTAATTTTTAGATTTTCGTTCGTTAATATTAATCCCGATCAGATTCTGAACTCATCCGATTTTGATGAAAAAGTAGTGTTTTCCAAATTCAGCCTCTAAATATGATTTTCGGGCAGTTTTTGATTTTAACGAAGTTTTTTTTATACTTAAAATATTATCCTTGAGTTTGATTAATAAAATTAATTATGTTTAAAGTTAATTAAGCATAAATATAATGTTTTTATTGAAGGTGTAAGTGTTGGAAATAGTTTCTAAGTACTACTTTTGATGTTTTATAAAGAGGGTTTAATCACCCATTAAAAAGGGGCGGAGATTATTAGGGGTTTTTATATAATTTTTAGATTTTTATTAGACTTTGAACTTGCTGTAATTTCATGTATAAGAGTGTATTTTAAGGTTTTTATGAAGAAAATTTAAAGAACTATATATAAGCCTTTAATTTTAACTAAAGGGAAGGTTTTAAAGTGTTGTTTGATTTGGATTTTGAAGGTTTTAAAGTAAGTTAGTATTGCTGTAAATTTGATTGATTGGGTATTGATTGAGATTTTATTATTTGGTTTAGGAGAGGAGTTTATTGAAGGTGATTTCTAGTTAGTAAAGTGGCATACCAATTCGTTTGCTCAAGGTACGTACAAGTTACGAAACCTTGCTTGTAGGTGCATGTTTAAGGACGGATCGAGAACTTAGTATCATGTATAGGGATGACTGGATTAAATTATTTGGTTATACATTGTGAATTTCATATGATGTGCACTATTTTATATTGCAAGTATTATTTGTGCTCTAATTATGCAAGGTGCGCTTAAAGGCAAAGTTATGCAATTGGTGTAAAGATTAATTTATTACTCATTCATGATTATGCAAACAGGATGAGTAAAGGAAGAATTCAAGTCTTATAAGACGAGGTTAAGGTTTTGGGGTGCCTTATGAACTCAAGGTGTTTATACACCGAGGTAGTAAAGGAATAATTAATAAATGTTGCTTGTCACTAATAAATCAAGAATTGAAATTGAAAAGTTGTTTTACTTGATTGAATTGATATTGGATTGATTGTATTGTTTGCATATGAGTCATCACCAAGTCTAAATCTGTAAATCACGTAAAGTGCAAGATGGATGAGCAATAAAACTCTGGATTGGTGCACTTCTGGAGTAATGACAATCAGGGGTTGGGATACACGGGGTATTAGCCGTGTACTTTTATCGAGACCGTCTGATCTACGAGTCTTCTATTTCAAATATTATTTTTTTAAAACTAGGAGTTAGGTGAGATCTCATACTAACTACGGTCACGGAGTCGCGCCCGTGGTCGTTGGATGTTTATTGATGTTTCCAAAAGAAGGCATGAGGTTTTTCTTTTATTGATGTTCCAAATGGAGCATGGGTTGGACAACCTTGTCTATTGCAAAATCCAATGAATAAAAATAATGATTTACCTATTATTAATTAATGGAGTTTTAGTAATATAAATAGTTGAGTCGTGTGTTGAGTCTATAATCTAATGATGCATGATGATTGATTATTAGTAACATGTTATGGATTTCTTATTTGTTTCACAGCATTGTATGTACTCAGCTTTGCTGATTGCGTGCTTTATGTGTCTTTATTTGGTCATGGCCTTCGCCTTTCAATGGCCCTGTGACGATCCAATTTTTACACTTGTAATATTGGGGAGCAGATTAACCACAGGTTCTTACATACGCAGCATTCGCATCAGGGTTGTGGGATTTTGAGTAGAGAGTTGGTTATTATTCGCAGTTTATTTCTTTTCATAAGTTTGAATTTATTTTAACTCTGGTTTTATTTATATACTACTTTTGTGGGGTTTTGAATAAGGGCCTTAATGGTTCCAAGTTGTATGATTTAATTTGGTTTTGAAACTTATTTATAACTGAGTTAGTTTTTTCGCTGCTAATTTCTGATATAGCCTTAACGTTTGAACACATGGCAGTAGCACACCAGTAATTCTCTTGGATTTTGTTCAGGTTATTCACAGGTTTAAAGAGAGAATTATTGGGATGTTACAACTACCTCCATTCCCGAAATAACGACCCATTTGGCCTAACTTTAGTCCAAAAAAGAATGACTCATTTGCATTAAAATCCCCACTAATTTGGAATAATATTTGTGCAAAATTAGATTTCCCATGTAAAATTTTGTTTCTCTATGTATTTTTATTACTTTCTCTCTCTACTTTTTTACAAACCCCATGTATATTTATTTTTCCAATATACTTTTACTTCTTTTTATTTAACTTTTTTAATACCCGCAAAATCAACCCAAATAGGTCGTTCTTTCGGGGATAGAGGGAGTTGAACATTTATTGACTAATCTACAAGTTTCTCATTCTTTTCCATTATGCAGAGAAATTATTACGACATAATATTATAAAAACCGATATCAAATACTCCAATCTCCCATTTAAATAGTCACTCATAATTCACACCTTTTATACGAGTCATACTAATATAATTTAGGCATGCACCAAGAGGATATTTTCTATCATAGTTCCTCAAATTTAGTTTTATACATTAATTGTACAAATTTTTGTATGTGGCTTGCCACATGGTGCGACAAGGATTACTTGTAGGGTGTTACTGGTTTTGTTAGGGGTTACTTGTAGGTGTTACTTGTATTCCGGGGTTACTTGTATGAGTGTTACTAGTTTTAGTCGGGGTTACTTATAGGGTGTTACTGGTTTTGTCAGGGGTTATTTGTAGGTGTTACTTGTATTCTGGAGTTACTTGTATGGATGTTACTGGTTTCGGTCGGGGTTACCTGTAGGGTGTTACTGGTTTTGTCAGGTTTTATTTGTATTCCAGGGTTACTTGTATGGCTGTTATTAGTTTTAATCAGGGTTTACTTGTAGGGTGTTACTGGTTTGGTATGGGATTTTGGTCTGGAGTTACTCAGAATACAAGTAACACATACAAGTAACCCTATAATACAAGTAACCCATACAAATAACACCAGAATACACGTAACCCTAACATACAAGTAATCGTGCCGCACCATGTGAAAAACCTCTGCATTAAGTGACTTTGACCATAAATTGGATAAACTTTGTATCATAGTGGATATAATAACTAAAGAAAACCACCATCATCATCAACCATCTTTCCACGAAATCAACGGTCATGATTAAACAAAGAAAAAGAAAGACTTCACAAATCCCAACAACCCAAAAAAAAAAAAAAAAACATGGTGCTATAATTTATTTATTTATTTTTTTAAAAGCAGAAAAACCATTTTAGTCAGACAAGTTGGTGGTATGCATGCAGACAAATATTCAACCCACCAAAATAAAAATACTATAAATTATAAAATAAAATAAAATAAATTAAATTAAATCCAACAATTTTGAGAATTTTGGGTAAGCATTTTCTCACAACTTTATGCTTCCACTTTTTTCCTTAAAATTCCAGAAGATTTGATTTCTTCATCATATTTAACCAATTGGGGCATTACATACATTCTAAACAAGCTCTGAATTTTCTTATCATCTTTTAAAGCATATATTAATTATAAAATAAAGTTTTTTTATATCAAAAGTTTGTTCTTTTTAGTACCTAACCCAACTTATTGACTTATTTAAGGTAGTCTTCCTGTTAATTGGTCAATTTTGGTTGGGGGGTTTTGTGTCTTGTTTTTGTGATTTTTGGCCAAAATCTGTTGACAATATTAATTCTGAAGCTTATCTGTTTTCTGGGTTTACTATTGTTTGCAGATTATTCCTGTTTTCTGGGATCTTTACTCCCAGGTATTATAATTTTTTTTTTTGGGTTTTCAATTTCATGAAATATTTGATTGTTTTTATTTCCTTTATAGTTTCAATTGTTATATATTTGGTGGGATTTGATTTATTTTCTTTTTTGTTTATGTTCTTAATCTTATTTTATGTGCATGCTTACATTTTATATTTGAAAAAGACTGTATGAAAAGCTCTGTTAGTAGATCTGCTTGTGCCAATCCCCAGATATATTCTTCTATTTCCTGATTATGTTTTGTATTAATGTTGACTGTTGTTGTTGAATTATTGCATGCTACTTAATTTCATGACCTTCAAGTATATATGAGCATATTGTAGATTTCTTTTGGGTTTGATAGCAATTTTTTAGTTGGGTTATTGAGAATTTAGATTTTGGATTTCGGAATTATTTTTGCAAGTTTATGTCATGTGCTTAAAAGGTTAATTCTCAGAAATTGTATTGATTGTTGGTGTGTAGCCTATTTGTTGTATGTTCATTAGATCATACCATTTTAAATTGGATTTGTTTGAGTTAGAGAGACCTTTCTAGTTTAGTTTTGGTACCGTTTAAAGGAACTTGGATTTTGCATAACGAATCCTAGTGTTCTGGTCCTAGACTTGAAGATCCGTAATATGAAGAGTATGAGTTACATATAGAGCTAGTTAATCAAATTGATTACCAACTATAGAAGTTGCAACCAACTGAGAACGTCCATGGTACAACAGTATGTACCATGCTCGCTCATTTATTTTTTAATTTTTTTTTGGCTCAATGGTTCATTTGGGGGAGTTCATGTGGAGCTCCCCAAAATAAGAACGAGTAAAAAATTAGTCTTGGTTGTACCATGTGACTAGTTGTACAAATGAAATCATTTATATGGGTTGGATTCCAAGAACGTCCAATTAAAAGTATAGTATTTGGAGATGTTCTGTGTAGTTGCTTGCTGTTCTTGAATTGTTCGAACAGTGACAGATTATATGGTCACTCCTTGCGTTGTGATTTTATATCTAGTAATGTGCTTGAACTTGGTGATGGTGATGTATTGATGTTGCAACTGCTTACATCCTTAGTTTGAGTTCAATAATTAACATATCTCTCTTGAGGAGAGACCAAGTCTGGACTAGATTCTACTTATTTTTGTGTTATTTAATTGCTTCAAGTTGCTTATTGCCAAATAAATTAATCAAGTGCCACGAAAAAACCCCTTATGTGTTTCTCTTTTCCTTGTTTTTTTTGAATTCTTTTGTTTAGATAATATAGCTTGAGAGCAACATGATTATTGCAACAACATTTGGTCAACTTGATAACGGCATTTGGCATCCACAAAACTAGTCATATATACGGGAAGATTTGGATTTGTTTGACATTTAGACTCCTGGATTTGGGATAATAGTTAAGAGCCTTGATCATATCTTTAGTCTGGTCAGCAAATATGTCTACAGCATATAGAACTCCGAGGCTTTATGCACTACAAGGAGGGAGTAATAGCTCTGGTTTGTCTACTCAGTTATATGGTTCTGAAAAGCACAAGGTCAAGTACATGACAGAAACTTTCAACAGTCCTAGTTATGATGCACAGTTCTTCAATAATTCTCCCTCGGAAGAGCTGATTCACCCACCAAGTTCTACTCCAAACCAATTTGAGTCCTCATACCAAACAAATTACGACCTGGATTACTTCATCAGTCAAAGTCCAGAAGCAGTTGAATATGATGAGGGTATGATGAAGTTGAAGCTTCAAGAATTGGAGCATGCTCTCCTTGACGATGATGAAGACGGAGTAGATGAGGTTGTTGTTGGGCCTGAGCACAGCATGGAGATAGATGAAGTTTGGGCTGGGTCATTGAGGAATATGATGGCTCATGACTCCCCAAAGGAATCTACTTCCTCGGAATCTTCCAACTTGAGTAGCGTTGGCAGCAAGGATGAAGCACTACCTTCTTCTCGTAATACTAAACAGTTACTCTTTGATTGTGCTGCTATCATTTCAGAGGGAAATTTTGCGCAAGCTGAATCAATGATCAACGAGCTTAGACAGATGGTTTCGATCCAAGGGGAACCATCACAGAGGATTGCAGCCTACATGGTAGAAGGCCTTGCTGCTCGATTGGCTTCATCTGGGAAAGTTCTTTATAAAGCTCTGAGATGCAAAGAGCCACCTTCTTTTGAAAAGCTTGCAGCAATGCAAGTACTCTTTGAGGTATGTCCGTGTTTCAAGTTTGGATTTATGGCAGCAAACGAGGCAATTTTGGAGGCAATTAAGTATGAGAAGAAGGTACATATTATTGATTTTGATATCAACCAAGGAAATCAATACATAAATCTTATACGATCTCTTGCTAAGCAACGTGGAAAGTCGATTAAGTTGAGATTAACTGGGGTTGATGATCCGGAATCTGTTCAGCGCCCAATTGGTGGCCTAAAGAATATTGGGCAAAGGCTTGAGGTGCTAGCTGAGCTTGAAGGGCTGCCCTTTGAGTTTAAGGCACTACCAACGAGAACACCGCTTGTTACCCCGGAAATGTTAGATTGCAGACCTGGGGAAGCACTAGTGGTAAATTTCGCTTTCCTGCTCCACCACATGCCTGATGAAAGTGTCTCAACAATCAATCTCCGAGACCAACTTCTTCGAATGGTCAGAAGCTTAAACCCAAATCTAGTAACCATTGTGGAACAAGATGTGAACACAAACACCACCCCGTTCCTCTCTAGATTTTCCGAGGCTTACAGCTATTACTCTGCTGTTTTTGAGTCTCTCGATGCCACTCTTCCGAGAGAAAGCCAGGAAAGAATCAATGTCGAGAAGCAATGTTTGGCACGCGATATTGTGAACATTATAGCCTGTGAAGGGGAAGAAAGGATTGAGCGTTATGAGGTTGCTGGAAAATGGAGGGCAAGGATGCAAATGGCAGGTTTCAGATCATGCGCTTTAAGGCAAAATGCAAGTGATATGATTCGAGAGCTCATCGTGTCACAGTATTGCAACCGGTACAAGTTGAATGAGGTAATGGATGCGCTTCATTTTGGATGGGAAGACAAAAACTTAGTCGTTGCATCAGCTTGGTATTGATTAAAATCGAGTGATTAGTGACTCTTTCTAGCTTGAGTTTTTACTTCTAACAGACTTGAGGGTGCTGTGTAATTTATATAATTAGCAACAAGTGTTTGTATATTATGTTGTGCTCTTTATTTTTTTGCTGAACTGCATATTGTGGTCTTCCCTGAGGCGATGTCCGATGCCTTTTTTCTAGCAGTTCATCATGAACATAAACTGTTATTAGGTTATCCAATTTGCTGACTACACACTTTTATGTATCATACTGTATTTTTCTTCACTTCATTCCCAAGTTTCTTAATTATTACTCTTCTTTTATGTATCATCTGATATTCTTTTTGTATACTTCGTATGATTTTGCATAGAAACTTCTTCAATCTTCATAAATGCAATGACACGCTATAGTATTGAACTGGAATATACAATTTACAATACTCATAATATATACTCCTTCCGTGTTCTTTTGTTTATAATTGACGCATGAACAATATCGGTGTTTTATACATAAGATTAAACATGATCATTAGATACTTGGTAGATAAAGTATATCTTAATTTATAGTATTATCTAACTATCAAATTGGGGTACTTAAAATTACTAGAACCTATTATATAGTCAACTATATATGGCTACCTCTTTTTCGTGTCTTGTAATTATAGAACAAATCTTATCTAATTTGATAATTTCCAAGGTATGAAAACAAACAATAGGAAGAGAATTGTTATACGTCGTTCTCAAATCTCATTGCTGAAAAAGAAAAACTCAGTCAAATTTGCCAACTACTAGTCTACTACCTATATATTATCTAATCTCCAAGGTTATAATAAGACCTTTTTCATGTTATTGATTATATATATATATATATATATATATATATATATATATATATATATAAAAATCTTTTTTTGCATGCACTGGACACTGGGTGCATAATTGCATATATTGCTTTTTTTTTTTTTTTTAAATAAAATTGTTCATAAATAAAAGACGACATTTACAAAAAAATTAGATCTACCAAATACATAATAATTAAATAAAATAAAATCATTCCGTAAGCAAAGCTAAATCGTACATTCTTTATACCCTATTTCATATCGCTGTGATTTACTACAATAACTAGGTTTTGTTTGGTTGGATCATTTGAAATGGGTTGGAGTGGAGTTAGAATCTATACAATCTTTTTTTTTTTTTTTTTTTTTTTTTTTTTTTTGTTTGGTTGATTTTTTTTTTTTTAGTAATGGAATCTCATACTCAATGGGTTCTAACTCTACCCCTAACCTATACCTATGGAATTCCAGACACACCTCTCCTCCGAAGATTCACAACTCATCCATTAATGAAGAGTATAATTCATTCTAACATTAAATCAAACAACTTAGAATAATATGGGATTTAAAGTCCATACCTCTCTAGTATGAGATTGTATACCAATTCATTCCAATACAATGAACCAAACACCCCCTAGATAATTTCCGGGAGAAAGGGGGTTTGGAAATCATAGTAAAGGTCAAAGGGAGGTGAGGTAATTGTAGGGGTAAAGGAAATGATAAGAGTGATCAATCAAACAACTTCAAACTTGGAGGTGGTCACGATGAGCATGACCCTGTTTTTTTGGGGGCTTAAGGCAAAGTTGAGTTCTGTTCGGTCTTATTTAAAACTAGTTTTGGCAACGTGCAATGCACGGATTTATAAAGTAAGATTTATCTATAATAATAGTCAATTGAAATAAAATGACTTGTGTAACAGTATTTTTTTTAAAATTTTGAATTTATTACTGTCTATCCTTTATATTTTTTTTGTGTTACATATATATAAAAGAAAATTTTATTAAAGAATTTTAAGTTTTTAATAGAATTAAAAAATAGCATTTTAGAGGGAAAATTTTACACAAAATAATGTCAAGTGTTCCTCGGTGATTACTTTAGTATATAGTAAGTATACATAGATTATTTTGTTGTTTTGCAGGGCCTAAATATGTATCTTTGATCTAACTTGTAAAAGCCCGAAAAACCTACATGCCCGGTCCAATCCATAGGTTTTGAGCATGCATATATATTCACCACGCACCTTGACCCAATCAAACCCTCTTATTTAGGCCTTTTTGGTCCGCAAATTTTAAGATGCACCATGGTGCACCTAGAAGCCTATACTTTTGAACATTTAGTAAAAAATATGAACAATGCAAATTTTAAACATGTAGTAAAAACATCTGAACTTCGCAAATTTTGAATATTTAGTAAAAATCTGAACAATTGCAATGCATCATGCCTATACTTTTGAACATTTAGTAAAAAAAATCTGAACAATCGCGAATTTTGAACATTTAGTAAAAAAAATCTGAACAATTGCAATGCACCACGCCTATACTTTTGAACATTTTGGTAAAAAAATTTGACCAATAACAAATTTTGAACATCGAGTAAAAAATCTGAACAATTGCAAATTTTGAATTATTACGTGTCAGACAAATTAAATTTTGAAAGAAGTTTGTCTAACTCGTAATAATTAAATAGTTTTGTAAAATAAACTGAACATTTTCTGTAAAAAAAATGAACATTTCCTTATAAAATATGAACATAAAAATTGCACGTTAATGTTCAATATTTGTGACGTGTTCATATTTTTTTTACTAAATGTTCATTTTTTTACTAAATGTTCAAAAGTATAGACGTGGTGCCTCTATGGTGCACATAATACTAATTCGGCTCAGCTCAAACACGGCTCGAATAAGTAGTCCTTTTTTTTCTTTCCTTCAGCTCTCTCGGACATGGCCTAACTAAGTGAGCGTTTTTTTTTTTCTTTTTTTTTTTTACTTTGTGGTTCTAGCCTCTAGCCATCCAGCTTGGTCCACGATCACCACTTATATTCTAAGGAAGTCAAGGTATTTGTTCAATTTTTTTGAAATTCCAAATTAAACGCTCCCTTAATATAGGTAAAACATACGAAGTAATATAATTTACATAATAGTTTCACAAAGTTTTATATGCGGCTGGCCGCACCGTGCGGCCAGTCACAATATTTTTATTTTTTTTTAAAAAAAAATCTTCTTCTCTCTCCTCTTTTCTCTAATTTGCCCACCCAAACCCACCCCCTACATCCTTTTTTCACGAGCTCTTCCTCTTTTTATCTTCTCTCTCCTCTTTCTCTTTCCTCTTGTCATCTTCTCTCTCCTCTTTCCCTCTCCTCGCTCTTTTCATCTTCTCCAATTAGGCAAGTAGCCCACCCAAACAAAGCTATTTGGTGCAGCAGTAGTAGCGGTGGAGGAAGCTCCTCGTACTCCGTCGCCATAAAATAAGCTAGAGGTTTTCAAGGTCAAATTAATCCATGAAAACTTTAAATCTAGAGTTTTCATGGTCAAATTTGGCCTTTTCAACCATATTCGAAGTGAAATTTGAAGTCACTATTAATTTTAAGGTATTTGTTCATTTAATTAATTTTTTTTAACGGTTGGATCTAGATTTTGGGTGTGGTTTGGGTGTTGTCGTGGTGTGGGTCTGGTTAGATGAGGTTTAGGTGTGGTTTGGTTGTGGGTTCGATGAATTTTGGTGGTGGCGTGGTTGTTGGTGGTGTGGGGCAGTGGGTACGGCAGTTGGTGGTGGCATGGTTGTTGGCGGCGTGAATATGGAAGTGAATGTGCAGCAAGTGGTGTAGGTTGGTGATGTATCTGTTTTATATAGTATTTTACCCCCGTCCCTTGGATAATTAGTAGTGTTTTTGGCTCTTTAGAGCCACTTTTATTACTAATTGGTGTTTTCTAGTGTTTGGTTGACTTTTGCAGGGATTTGCACTTTTGGAGCATTTTCTCGAGATATTATAGAGCAAATACGATCACTGGAGAAGCACGACCAGTTTTTATAGCTCAGGGTCGGTTAGAGCCATCGAACCGGTGATTAAGGGCTCGGTATGTGTGATACCGGGGCATTTGGACCGAGTATTCAAGACTCGAAGAGGAAACCCAGATTGGCCCGAAGAATTGGAGCCCAATCGTAGTCCAGATAGTGGTCTAAGAGAGCCGCCCGGCCAAAAAGGCTGGCGCCCGGAGGCGCGCTCGACCGGGCGAGAGAAGCAAAGGTCGGCGCCCGATGACGCGCCCGGCCGGGCGCGAGAAGCGTACTGATGAGCAAAAAGGCGCGCCCGATCGGGCGGGGCGCGTGTTATTGTTAGGAGACGATTAGCGTCGTTTAAGTTTGTTTTAGTTTAGGATTATTAAGGAGTATAAATACTTCTCCATAAAACGAGTTTAGTACTCTTCCTTACCTTCTTTTACTCTTTCTTAATTTTTTCTTAGATTTTCTCTCACTACTTAGCTTTTAGATTAGTTTCTCTCTCTGATACTTTGTTCTCAACTTTATTCTTAATTCCAGATTTCTTTGGTAACGATTTCTCTTTTCTTAATCTTAGTTATTTATTTTATTTCTTTGATCATGTATTGTTTTATTTCTTTGATTAGTTTAGATTTATTTATGTGTGAGTAGTTTTATTTCTAGGGTTTGTGGGGATCCATAAATAATATGAAGGGGTAATTTATTGTTGTTAATTATCAATACTAGATTAATTTCCTATTGATTGATTTAATGCTCTGTGACTAGATTTGCGCAGATCTTTTATGCATGAGTTTAACAATATTGATTCGAGATTCGACAGATGAGAATTGATGTTTAGGTCTAGTTTCAATAGGCAGGTTAATTTATAAATGGTTAAGTCGAGATTCGAGAGATGAGATTTAATACCGGTAAATTAATTGTGTGATTGTAATACATAGCGAAAGCCCTATATGATCTGATTAATGTATGCATTGATGATTGATTATTATGTTTTACCCTGGAATATTATTTATTGGTGAACCTATGCCCTAGATCCTTTTATATATTGTTTTCTTTATTCTTAATCTTTGTAGTTTAGTTTCCTTCGATCATTATATTTTGATTGCTTCATAATCTGGATTATATTAATTAATTAGAAATAGAAAGACTCGTTTCTCTGTGGATTCGACCCTACTTCCCTATCAACATTAGTTAGAGGATTTAGGAATTACTTTTGATTAGGTGATACGACTATAGCGTGTCAAAATTTGGCGCCGTTTCCGGGGAAACGGTTTTATTATTATTTCAGTTTATTTTTGTAGTCTAGGTTATTTTCTTTTTGTCTCAGAGAACGTTAGTTCTTTGAGGCAAATCTCATATTTGCTTTTAGTTTTTTTTGTTTATGCCCAGGTGTTCCAGATCAGGGTACATCCCATTCGATCCTGAGATCGAACGATCCTTTCATAGACAGAAGAATTTCTACAAGCAGATTCTGGCAGACTCTGGTGATAATAATAAT